CTCATTTGTCTATGTGAGACTAAGTGGAAAGGTATACATGGCATCTCATTGGTCTAAGTGAGACTAAGTGGAAAGGTATACATGGCATCTCATTGGTCTAAGTGAGACTAGGTGGAAAGAGTTTAGAGAAACAACACCTAATCAATTATATGCATTTTAATTTAGTGGAGAGGATAATTAAGAAGAATTTGGAAGCAACAGAGATGTGGTCTCTCAAACGAATTTTACGAATACCTTGGACGGCCAGAGTAACTAACAACGATTGCTTGAAAGAGGCTAATGAAAGTATATCTCTATATACAACAATAAGAAAAAGAAAAAAACACTGTTCTTTGGTCACATAATGAAAAAAGAAAAATTAGAGAACATCGTGACAACTAGAAAGATCATTCGAAAGAGGGGTAGATGCAGACCAAGAGAGATGATGCTGGATGGGCTTAAACAATGGCATAGAGGGATATCATCGAGAGAGTTGATCAAGGCAACCAGGGATCGTGATCTGTGGAGACGCATGAGTGCCTAGGCCAGTTGACCGGGCTCATGATGATGATGAGAGGATAGACCAGTAAACGGCGTTGACTTTCTTGTGCATAAGAATATTAGAAACACAGTTATTGGATGCAATCCTGCCTCAAGCAGACTCATATCAACAGGCTTAAACGCAACCACTTTCAATATTACAGTCATACAAGCCTATGCTCCAGCTACAGACTACAGTGACAACTCTATTGAGATTTTCCACAAACAACTTCAAAATATTTTTGACAAAACACCAAAGAAAGATGTGCTGATAATCCAGGGAGATTGGAATGCTAAGGAAGGAACAGATGCGCTGGCAGGCTGGAAAGACACATGTGGACTTTTCTGCAAGGCATCAAGAATGTGGACATGGCACTCACCATCACAACCAAATCTACTACATAATAGTCGAAAAATTTTTTAAATCTCGGATAAACAGAGCGAAGAGAAGAAGCTATCCAGGAGCTGATATAGGAAGTAACCACAATATGGTACTACTACATTTTAGGATCCACCTCAAACGTTTAAATAGTGCTAAAACTCTATGACTGAAATACGACACTGACAGACTAAAGGATTTGGTAGTGGTGGAAACTTTCAGAGTCAGAATTGCTTCCCTGATTAACACTGTGAACAGCATAGAAGCACTAACAAATGAATTCACCAAAATATTAAATGAAACAACACGAGAAATTGTAAGGATACAAAAACAAATACAAAAAATCAACCATAGGCCACTCATGAAATTCTCAACATGTGACCAGCGAAGGTACCCCAAAAAAGACAGGCACAATCCTCACCTAGCAGACAAGTATATACAGATAAATATTCAGATTAGAAAAGACATGCTAGAGGCAAAGGAAAGTTGGATAGAAAGCAGATGTTCAGAAATAGAAGATTGTAACACGTTGAACAATAGTTGTAAAGCAAATAGCATTTTTTCAAACATCAATCGAGAGAAAACGTTATGAAGTAACGCATCCAAGACACAGAAGGTAAACTACTCACACAAAGTAATAACATCCTAAATAGATGGCCTGAATACTGTTCGAGCCAGTATAACGAACAAATAGCAACACCGACATCCTTGACAACAGCCAAGCACAGGAAGATGACAGCTTCCCCATACTCCTGGATGAAGTTAAATTGGCCATCAGGACTATTAAAAAAAAAATGGGAAAGCTGTGGGAAATTTGCAATATCCCAGCTGAGATTTTGAGGGTGGGGGAGAGATGTCATCGATATTCTCACTGAAATCTGTAACAAAATTTGGGAGACTGGTGAATGACCATCTCTTAGGACAAAACCACTCACCATTACCCCCCCCCCCCCTAAAGGGAAATTTACAACAATTTCAAAATTATAGGACTATTATTCTCATCAGTCCTGCCAGTAAAGTCATACTCAGTATACTCCTAAACAGATTAAAGCCACATGCAGAAAAGATCATAGAACAGGAACAGACCGGTTTCCATGCTGGAAGAAGCACTTTTGAACATATATTTAGTCTACGCATATTATCTGAACAATATCACCTGCACCAAAAACATCTATACTATGTGTTAACTGAATTGAAAAAAGCCCTTAATAGAGTATGGCATGCAGCACTCTGGGAGACTCTGAAAAAGTAGAATATGGGTAAAATCCCCATACGACTATAGAACAGCTCTATGCCAAGGCCAGCAGTACTGTTACGCTGAACGGACAAATAGGAAGCTGGTTCTGAACAACAGCAGGAGTCCATCAGGGCTGCCTCCTCTCTCCCACACCGTTCATTATCTTTTTAGAAAGAAAATTATGACTGATGCCCTAGGACAACATCATGGAACAATTAGTATCGGAGGTCGAACTATAACAAACTTATGGTTTGAAGATGACATCGATAGCTTGGCTGGAGAAGAACAAGAACTAGTCGAGCTTGTAAATCTACTCGATGAAACATCAACCAAGTTTGGCATGGAATTAAAAGCAGAAAAATAAAAGTAATGACTAATAATACAGCTGGCAGAATTTCCCTAATCCACATTACAGGTCACACATTAGAGCACATGACACATTTCAAATATTTAGGATATTTTTAAGTGACTTAGGGGTTAAGACCAGAAATTATGTCTAGGATTGCCCAGACAACATCAGTCCTTGCTAGTCAGCAAATAAGAAGATCTAAAAACATTGCATGCAAAACTAAGATTCTATTGCTCAGAGCACTAGCTATTAGTACATTTACATATGGCTGTGAAACGTGGACCATAACAGCTGAACTTGAAAGACAGATACAAGCAGTAGAACTGCGATGTTTCAGAAAAATTCTTGGCATATCATACAGAGACCACATTACAAATAAAGAGGTTCGCCTTACAGTTATGCAGCACTTTGGCAGCTATGAACCTTATTTAACTACAGTGAAAAGGGGAAAATGAATTGGTATGGACATGTAATAAGATCTAACGGCCTCTCAAAAACAATACTGCAGGGCTCACTAGAGGAGAAGAGGCAGATTAAGAAAGACCTGGTTACAGAACCCGACTGAGTGGACAGGCATGCAACATGAAGTCCATCGCAGCTGACCTCCAAAGGTGGAGAGAGCTGATCAGACAGTCAACAAAAACTGGTGATCCAAGGAAACGTAGTGATACGGACGATGATTATGATGCAAACTAACGGTTACAATGTTGAGAGTAAAAGAATAAGAACAAAACATCAAATTACATATAGGAAGCTTAAGAAAAGTGATGTCACTCGAATAAAAATAGAACGTATCCTTAAGAATGAACAAAACAAACATTACAAGAATACATAGCTGCCTATAGGAAAATTGTGTATTCATTATGACGGTTGGAAAAGCTAAACTTTCTTTTTTTTTGCCAAGTTATTTACCTTTCAGTAGGATAGTGTTATTTAGTTTCTGCAGTTAAAGTTTACTTTTTGTTATTTTCTACTGTTAAAGAAGTTTTTCGAAACGTGCGATTGCTATCCATACGGCTATTTTGTATAATCATTGTTAAGACCCGCTCTGAAGGCCTTTTTGTGAACAAGGTTAACAAAATTAGGAATTTTTTTTTTTCCTAAAGCTCATGCCATGTGGCGTTGGTAGTCATGTCTATCCACAACCTTCTGTCTCGTGTACATTCAGTTAGCTATGACAGTTCCTCCATGCCATGTGGCGTTGGTAGTCATGTCTATCCACAACCTTCTGTCTCGTGTACATTCAGTTAGCTATGACAGTTCCTCCATGCCATGTGGCGTTGGTATTCATGTCTATCCACAACCTTCTGTCTCGTGTACATTCAGTTAGCTATGACACAGTTCCTCCATGCCATGATATCAAAATGTCTAGCATCCTCTCTTTCAGTCTCCCTCTGCCTCTCCTTCCCTCCAGCTTTCCTACTGTCACGATGTACTCCAGCTTTCCCCTTCTCATCCCATGAACAAAGACTGAAGATTGTGTCTTTCTAATGTGGGCAATCAGTTCTCTTTGTGAGTCAGTTTCAGCCAGTTTCTCTCAAGACATCTACATTACTCTTTTGATCTGTCCAGGGTATTCTCATTATTCTTCTGTAACACTTATCTCTGCGCCTTAAAAAAAAGTTTTCACTAATTTACCAACTGTCTATGATTCACTTCTTTATATCAAGATAGGATTTATACTGCTTTTAAGAATTCTCTTTCTCGTCTCAATTCGGAATCACCAGATTCCCTACGGTTTAACAGGACCCCCCCCCCCCCCCTTTTTTTTTTCCCTGCAGAAAGCTGCCCTCGACAAGTCAGAAAAGGGACCTAGCCACGCCTTTGGTGCAGCGAGCATTTAGTGCTGGGCCCACAATTTGTCGTGATGACTTGAACAGGGGTGACTGCAGTTCAGATTTTCTCATGAAGTGATCAATGCAAAATGAAGTGTGATTAGAAAACTTAGTGAAGGGAATAGAAAAGACGCGCTAAATTACAATCGAACATTTTGGCCGAAGTCTTTATCAGCGAAGTACTAAATACAACCCTAATTTTTTTCCTTGGGGAAAGGGTGGGGGTGGGGGGGGGGGCGGGTTAAGAGTTCTAAGCTTGAAGAGTCTAGGACCTAGGAATATATATGACAGGATCGTTATATAATTATATATCTGTAGAGAAAAAGACAGAAAGGGACAGACAGACAGACACACACACACAGAGAGAGAGAGAGAGAGAGAGAGAGAGAGAGAGACAGACAGACAGACAGACAGACAGACAGACAGACACACACACAGGGAGAGAGAGAGAGAGAGAGAGAGAGAGAGAGTGAGAGAGAGAGAGAGAGCTGAAAAAGAGTGGATCGTATTTCAGTGCAAAGGAGAATAGAAGTTGCATTAAAAGCGAAGATGAGGACGGAGCATGCATGGGAATGCACCGAGTGCTGTGGTGTCAATTCTTGACTCAACTCTGCCACCGGTTCTTGGTGCTAACAGCTATGCCACTACGTCTCTTAGAACAGCGGACAACATCAAAGCTACCTCGGGTGGCCGGGTGACGTACGATCCACAGACTCTATTGGTTATTGTTGGACCATCCATGTGTATTGCTGCGCCCAGGTCTCCCAAGGCCACGTGACCAGACAGAAGGACTAGAACGTTCTCCGGTGTGATGTCTCTAGAACAAATATACAGTGTACTTTTAGTCTGGGTCTCACTCAGTGTTGCCACTTTGGATCTTTTATATCCAAATTTAGATCTTTTTCATTGCATTTAGATACTGTTTTTGACGTTTAGATCGTAAATATTTTTCTAGAAACTTTTTATATGGAGTTAGATATTTTATAGATTTTTTTTTCTTTCATTGTCAATTTAATAATTACTGTGTAAACAAATATCTGGCAGCCCCGGTACTGATTAATAAAAACGCGCGTAAATCATACTAACTTTGTTTCAACCGTATCCTCACTGTGCTGACTTTGCGTTTCTTTTTTCATGTGATTAACAAAAAATAATTGCTCACCTTCTTATGTGGCTTTCACTTTGAAAAAACCTTTCATTAAGCCAAAAGTAAAGTATGAGCAAAAAATTTGGAAAGAGTGGTTGCATGATGACAAAATTAAAAACTGGGTATATGACCAACGCTTGTTGTAAGTACTGCAAGTGTGAAATTAAAGCGACAATACAAAACTCAAAGAGTCATGCAGAGACTAAAAAAAGCATAAAACTGCAGTTTCATTTAAAGACATTACACCGCTGACACCTGTTTTCAGAACAATACTGATAAATGAATCATCAAAAGTGGAAGTATCAGTCGGAATGTTTTTAATTTGTCACTGCGCAATTTCAAACTGTGACCATTTGATCGATTTGTAAAAAATCTTAGTTTAATTTGAAAAGTGTGATGTAGAAAGTATAGTTTAGGAACTGAAGGACCTTTTAATCAGCAAACAGTTAGGCTTGAAGAATTTGGCTGTAATTGGTACTGATAATGCCTCAGTGATGGTTGGTATAAACAATGGCGTTTATGCCAAGTTGAAGGAAGCTAACCCATTGTTAATACTTATAAAATGTATGCGTCATTCATTGCAGCTAGCATTATCACATGCTTCATCTAAATATTTACCAAGAAATTTGGAATACCTTTTTGCTGAAACACTTTACTGGTTTTCCAAATCATTTGTCTCTTAAATGCTATCATGCCATTACAATTCGGCCTAATGAGACTAGAGAAATAAGCCTACTGTTCCACTTATAAAAGAAATTTGAACAGCTTAAGCATACCAGGGTCATTTTGGATCTGAAGCTTCAACTTCATTATCCAAGCTAAGTTTATCGTGTTGATCTTGTGAGGTAGACATCAGTAAAGGTGAGGACATGATTATGTATGGTAAGTCATAACAAAAGCTATGTAATTTTTGACTTTTTCAATTTGGATATTTTTTTAAGATCTTTTTCACGCAGATTTAGATCTTTTTAGATATTTTTTGACACCGTTTTGGATATTTTTTTGTCAAAGAAAAGTGGCAACACTGGTCTCACTCAAGATACATAGAGCAGTTTAAGTCAGTGTTCTTCAACGTTTTTACACTCCCACGAACCGGGAAAATAGAAGGACTTTTCGACTGCCGGCTAGGGCAGAAACAAAACAGATTGAAAAAAAAAAATAATAATTTTGTCCCGTTTCTGAAATGGAGGTAATTTGCGGTACATCAACTGCTGACTTTATAAGTATGTGGTTAGGTTCCAGTGTCTTTCACGGTAGGACTCTCCTACGATTGTCTGAAATTTAGAAGAACGGATTGTTTACAAATAGGTGGCTGCACAACAATAGATGAACACACATGCAAGATATTTTCTCGAAAACTGCCTGTTACATGGCACATATTTTTGCATGCAGTGTGTTCATAAGATGTGAAACAAACTATAGATATCAATTTATGCATGAAATCCATTTATACAATTACACTTTTTGGCTAATATAAGAATAGAAAGCGTTGTTTCTCAGGCAGGAATTGCAGCTGTAACATCCACTCGATTATTTATTTTTATATTTTGTACGGTTTTCTTGGGGGGTGTGTTCTAATTTTTTGCATTGCGTGTATATGGACACCAGGGCCCTCTGGGAACTTGCTTGAGCACCCACGAGTATTGGTCGACCCACACTAGTCTGTGTATGTAAAGTGACCGTTGACATTTCTGTTATGCGAGTGGTTGGGGTAGAGGCCTCAGCACAGTGGTTTATCCAGGGGTCCATATTGTTGTTAAGACGGTTCAGTATGGGGTTATGGAGGGGGCGTCTAAATCTTTTTAGTGCTTAGGGCATTAATGGGTCTTAATCCAGCCGTATACACACATCCACACATGCGCACGCACACACACGCACGCACGCACACACACACACACTCGCGCACACATGCACACATACACACACACGCGCACGCACACGCGCACGCACACGCGCGCATGCACACACACACGCAAGTCACACACGCACTCGCGCACGCACACACACACGCAAGTCACACACGCACTCGCGCACGCACACACGCACAGACACACACACAGAGTATGATATAACATCGAGCCACACAGTCCACCTAACGGTAATGTCTGGGTATATCCTACCTGTGTATAATGTTCCTTTGATGAAGAAAGTCCAAGGCACAAGCAATTTCCAAAGCGTACAATCTGTTTGTGAAGACATTTTACAGTTGGGTTTTTTAATAAAGTACATATTCAATGTATAAAACAGCCGGACTGCTTTCATATCAACTGTAGTATCTGAGTGTATGATGCGAGGAATCGGTTTTGAAGAAAAATTATTACAGCCTAATTAACAGATAAAAAGTCTTGTATGCAGGGGGCTTTCAAATGAAAACCTTATAAGTGTGACAACAATTGCAATAACCATACCACTATCTTGTAGCCTGTAAATATTTTTGTTAAAGATGGCAAGGATGTTAAGCAGCTGAAATCTCTGTGCAGTCGAGCACGGTGACGTCATAAGAAGATAACTGCCCCACGTTTGACATGCACTGAATAGGAGCAACGTTCTAGTGTCAGCTTTTTAATCATTGAAGGAGTGAAACCTATAGAAATTCTTCAAAGAATGAAGGTCCAGTATCTTGACGCATACCTGTCTGTCCAGCAGGTGTATGGGTGGGGTCATCATCATCATCATCATGTAGCAGATCCTTTGCAGAACGTCGCTCTCATCACAGTCTGCCTGAAAGAAACTCGGTCTCTCGCCAGTTCTCCTGCCTCATATACTTCCATACTCAAGGAGTCACTTATATCCCGTGCCCATCTTCTTGTCCGTCGGCCCCTGCCCCTCCTTCCTGGTACTATGCCTTCTGCTATAGTTTTTTTCCAATCCGTTGTGGCGCTTGATATGACCAAAATATTTCAGCTTCCGAGACAGGATGCTGTTTATTAGCCAATCTTCCTTGATGTTCAGATCTTTTAAGATGTCAATATTTCTCCTCTTCTTTGTCCAAGATATTCTGAGAATCTTTCTATAGCATTTCAGCTCAAAAGCCCCCATTCTCTTTCTTAAGTACTGAGAGATAGTCCACGACTCACATCCGTATGTAGCCACAGGGAAGATGCATGCTCTCAAAATTCTAATTTTTATCTCCTTGCTGTTGCTTAACCATAGACTTTTAAGGCTGTTCAATCTTTGCATTGCTATGGCCATCCTCCTTTTCATTTCTGTTGAATAATCTCCATTATGGGTGGGGTAGAAGGTTTAAAAACCACGGTACCCCCTGTGACAGACTTTTCACAAGCCGGTTAGCACACCGGGTAGTGACCTCAGATGACTGCAGTGGTTCTGAAAACTTCATACTCCACTCAAAATAAAATACATAAACTACAACCCGATAGTGGAAGAAAACAAACAACATCAATTAAACATAGCAACATTGTATAAAATAAAAAAAATAAAAACAACCAACAACACATGATAACACTGAATACTGACTTGGCATTGTTTGAACCCACGCCTTTCACAGCTTGAGTCAAGTGATCCAGTGTTCGGAAAGGGGCATATTCCATGAATAAGTAGTAGTTCTGAAATGTCGTATGACATAATACATTTCTTAGTCATGCCACACAAAGCAGCTCTGAAATGGCACAGAACACAAGGTAGCTCTGAATGTTGAATGTTGAATTAAGAATCGACTGGTAACTGTCTGATTGTATATGCGTCCCGCCCTTCCCCTGAGGGTTGAGCATCTGAAAGATACTCTGGTAACACCTCGCAGTGCCATTCTCCTCTAACCGTAATGATCTATCTGTGCCTCCGCACTGTTCATTCGCTCCCAAAGGACCCTCACAATATCTAACTTGTCATTCACGATCAAGTGGTGCAGAGTCGGCCAGTATCTCTGAAAGTCCATAAACACAAACTAACTCTGAAATGTCGTATCTCATCAAGTATGACGAACCTATGGACATATATTGATTCGTAGTCATAGAAAAAAAAAAAGGTTGAGGGATTGAAGGACACACTAAATAACACAGAAATTGAAAGCAACAGTTACCGTGCCAGGAATCTGGTAACTGTAGCTTTCATTTGTTATCTAGTGTGTTCTTCTATCTTTCTACTTCTTTCTTTGGGTGTCGATCAATACATGTCTGTTTGTTATGTATAACATTACTACAATCTCCGAGGTTCTTCATCAGTTTATTTCTGTGTATTAAGTGCAACTAGACACTATAGTTACACTAGGTTCGATTACCAGCATCTTCTTCTTCTTCTCTTAAATCATTTACCTCAGCAAAGTGTTGGGTTGAGAAGTAAGGATCGTTTTTGCGCTTTTCTCAATTCATTGTAAAATGTTGTGTTCATTGCTCATGATGATGTCGCTCCATATCTTGCGTAGTCCTTCCCTTGCTCTGTGTTCATTATATTTCTTTAGCGTGGCTCTCTGTGACAGTTTCGTCTAGTGGCTAAACTATCTAATTTGTTGTTCTTTGATGAACTGTATGACTGGTTTCAGTCCTAGTCTTCTTCTAATTTCTTCATTACTGGTTTGATCTCTTCTTGTCACACCAGCAGCTCTCCTAAGACATCTCATCTCTGTTGTTACGATCTTCCGCTCATTAGTTGTAGTAAGGGTATATTTTTAGTACTGGTTGCACAAAATCGGCCACAAAACCCGTTCCTATGAGATTTGCTTTGGTTTATATCTTTATATCGTTTCATGTTTATGTTGTTTAGTGTGTCATGTCTTTTTTTTTCTTTTTTTCCATGAGTGCCTATCTGTGTATGTCAGTTTGTTTATCACACTATTACTACGGCCTCACAGTGTTCCCCATATGTTTATTTCTGTGTAACATAAAGTAGTTCTGAATTGTCGTATGACACAAAGTAGTGCTAAAACGTCAGGCAGAAAGCCTTCACAGAGTAAACAAAGTAGTTATCAAATGTGATGTAAGATTAGGTAATTCCGAAATAAAATATTGTGTATAAAATTAGTTGCGTTTCCTTTACAGGACATTGCAGAATAAACCACTTTTTTCGCTGTTGTTGTTTTTCTAGGCAACTTTAATGTTCGCCATTGCTCATTGAAGGGTCAACCCTCAGTACCATAAACGAAACCAAAGAAAGACAAATCGTCATTACGAAGGGTGATCTCAACACCCTAGCCACAGACGCCGACGTATTGTGTACAACACACACTTCTTCTTGTTGTTGTTCAAGTGTGTGGCTTTGGTTTATCTCCTTCCATAGCCTTCTGTTTCATACACGCCACAATACCATGCTGTCCAACATCTTCCATCTATTGGTATCCATCTGCCCTGATTCGCCTTTAACGTCCAGGTGTTCACGATGTGCTCTATTTCCCACGTCTCTTAATGCACCCGAATCACAATGTGGGTTCCAGGGCTCCATTCTGATGGGGGGAGGGGGGAAGGGTGGGTGGGGGGGGGGGCGTAACTATAACCCGAACCAGTATCACCCCTAAATTAGTGGACTTTCCTGGGAACTCCTGGATTTTCTTCGCGTCGTGTGAATTAAAACTAAAACACCCCTGGTCTAAAGTCAAAGTGGCATAAAATGACAGCAGAGCTCACTAAGTTCCGACTGGTCCATACAAAATGTAGGTCTTGCGCAAAACTCAAATTACATGCAAAAGGTCCTCCCCTTTCTTTGCATACATGTTTTGACATACTTGTTGTCATGTCAATTCTTGACTCAACTCAACTCAACAAACTAGTAGGCATACTTCGACATACTTGACTTGTGACATACAGACATTCAGACTTTGACATACTTGACTTGTGACATACAGACATTCAGACTTTGACATACTTGACTTGTGACATACAGATATTCAGACTTTGACATACTTGACTTGTGACATACAGACATTCAGACTTTGACATACTTGACTTGTGACATACAGATATTTAGACTTTCACATACTTGAATTGTAACATAAAGATATTTAGACTTTGACATACTTGACTTGTGACATACAGACATTCAGACTTTGACATAATTGACTTGTGACATACAGACATTCAGACTTTGACATACTTGACTTGTGACATACAGATATTTAGACTTTGACATACTTGACTTGTAACATAAAGGTATTTAGACTTTGACATACTTGACTTGTGACATACAGACATTCAGACTTTGACATACTTGACTTGTGACATACAGATATTCATACTTCGACATACTTGACTTGTGACATACAGATATTCATACTTCGACATACTTGACTTGTGACATACAGACATTCAGACTTTGACATACTTGACTTGTGACATACAGACATTCAGACTTTGACATACTTGACTTGTGACATACAGATATTCAGACTTTGACATACTTGACTTGTGACATACAGACATTCAGACTTTGACATACTTGACTTGTGACATACAGATATTTAGACTTTCACATACTTGAATTGTAACATAAAGATATTTAGACTTTGACATACTTGACTTGTGACATACAGACATTCAGACTTTGACATAATTGACTTGTGACATACAGACATTCAGACTTTGACATACTTGACTTGTGACATACAGATATTTAGACTTTGACATACTTGACTTGTAACATAAAGGTATTTAGACTTTGACATACTTGACTTGTGACATACAGACATTCAGACTTTGACATACTTGACTTGTGACATACAGATATTCATACTTCGACATACTTGACTTGTGACATACAGACATTCAGACTTTGACATACTTGACTTGTGACATACAGACATTCAGACTTTGACATACTTGACTTGTGACATACAGATATTTAGACTTTAACATACTTGACTTGTAACATAAAGATATTTAGACTTTGACATACTTGACTTGTGACATACAGACATTCAGACTTTGACATACTTGACTTGTGACATACAGACATTCAGACTTCGATATAATTGACTTGTGACATACAGACATTCAGACTTTGACATACTTGACTTGTGACATACAGATATTTAGACTTTGACATACTTGACTTGTGACATACAGATATTGAGACTTTGACATACTTGACTTGTGACATACAGATATTTAGACTTTGACATACTTGACTTGTGACACACAGATATTCAGACTTTGACATACTTGACTTGTGACATACAAATATTTAGACTTTGACATACTTGACTTGTGACACACAGACTTTGACATACTTGACTTGTGGCATACAGACATTCAGACTCTGACATACTTGACTTGTGACATACAGATATTCAGACTCTGGCATACTTGACTTGTGACATACAAATATTCAGACTCTAATATACTTGACTTGTGACATACAGACATTCAGACTCTGACATACTTGACTTGTGGCATACAGATATTCAGACTTTGACATACTTGACTTGTGGCATACATATATTTAGACTTTGACATACTTGACTTGTGACATACAGACATTCAGACTTTGACATGCTTGACTTGTGACATACAGATATTTAGACTTTGAAATACTTGACTTGTGACATACAGATATTCAGACTTTGACATATTTGACTTGTGACATACAGACATTAAGACTTCGACATACTTGACTTGCGACATGCAGACTTTGACATACCTGACTTGTGACATACAGACATTCAGACTTCAACATACTTGACTTGTGGCATACAGACATTAAGACTTCGACATACTTGACTTGCGACATACAGACATTCATACTTCGACATACTTGACTTGCGACATACAGACATTCAGTCTTCGACATACGTAACTTGTGGCATACAGATATTTACACTTCGACATACTTGACTTGTGGCATACAGACATTTAGACTTCGACATACTTGACTTGTGACATACAGACATTCAGACTCTGACATACTTGATTTGTGGCATACAGATGTTCAGACTTCGACATACTTGACTTGTGGCATACAGATATTCAGACTTTGACATACTTGACTTGTGACACACAGACTTTGACATACGTGACTTGTGACATACAGGCTTTGACATACTTGGCTTGTGACATACAGACATTGACATACTTGACTTGTGACATATAGACTTTGACAGACTTGACTTGTGACATACAGACATTCAGACTTTAACATACTTGACTTGTGACATAAGACTTTGACATACTTGACTTGTGACATAAGACTTTGAAATACTTAACTTGTGACATACATACTTTGACACACTTGACTTGTGACATACAGACTTTGATATACTTGACTTGTGACATACAGACATACATACTTTGATATACTTGACTTGTGACATACAGGCATACATACTTTGATATACTTGACTTGTAACATACAGACTTTGACATACCTGACTTGTGACATACAGACATTAAGACTTCGACATACTTGACTTGTGACATACAGACTTTGACACACTTGACTTGTGACATACAGACTTTGATATACTTGACTTGTGACATACAGGCATAAATACTTTGATATACTTGACTTGTGAGACACAGACATTCACACTTTCAAATACTTCACTTTTGACATACATACATATTGACTCACAGTATTTTCCGGCGTCGCTTCTGTCGGAGGGCTGGGACTAGACAAAAATCCATCGATAAGGCGGACCAGGAAAGGTGATTCTCTGGTGACTGAGAGTATGTTTAGTTCTCCCCGAGCCTGCGAGCCCTTTTGACCAGGAATAACTTTCATGATGCCCAAATATCCTGATTTTCTGTGTAACATCAGGTGAACCTGGAGGATGCATGAAGAATCAAACAGAGAGCTCGACCTGAAAGGTGCGTGAAGAATCAAATACAATATGCAGGTCCACCTGAAAGGTGCATTAGGAAGAGAATACAGAGGTGGGTCATCAAGATGTACGAAGAATCAAACAGAGAGCTCGACCTTAAAGGTGCATTAGGAAGAGAATACAGAGGTGGGTCATCAAGATGTACGAAGAATCAAACAGAGAGCTCGACCTGAAAGGTGCATTAGGAAGAGAATACAGAGGTGGGTCATCAAGATGTACGAAGAATCAAACAGAGAGCTCGACCTGAAAGGTGCGTGAAGAATCAAATACATTATACAGGTCCACCAGACAGGTGCGTTAGGAAGAGAATTCGGAGGTGGGTCACGAAGATGTACGAAGAATCAAATATACAGCTCGACCTGATAGGTGCGTGAAGAATCAAATACAATATGCATGTCCACCTGAAAGTTTCATAAGTAAGAGAATACAGAGGTGGGTCAGGAAGATGTACGAAGAATCAAACACGGAGGCGAATCTGGTGAATCAAGAAAGAAGCAAATAGCTGGACCTGGTAGATATAGGAAGAATCAAATACAGAGGTGGACCTCGAAGATGATACACGAGGATTTCAAATACAGAGGTGGAACTTTAAGATACACGAGGAATTCAAATAAAGAGGTGGAACTTTAGGATACACAAAGAATTAAATACAAATGTGGCACTTTCAGATACACGTTTCAAAATGTAATCGTTAAACTTTCAGTTCGGTTGACTTTGGTTATAAATACAAAACATTTGCAACTATTTATTAAACAAAACGATAAGGCCATTTTTGTTTCAATGTGGGCTTTGTACATCCCTAAAATCTAAGTAATACTACACGCACATTTAATTTTTTCAGATTTTGAACAACGGATAAACATCATAGCAAACGGGTGTAACCTATAGCCGTTAGGCTACTCTTTTCGATTGACAACAGCCAAGGGATTTTTTTACATGCGCAACATTACACACGGGCGTCTGATCTCACTAATCAGAGACCAGGGGGATTAGTAGAAGTCCAAGTCCATGTGAAAAAATCCCAGCACTTACCGGGAATTGAACCCGGAACCTCTAGCTCTCGAGGCGAACACCATGCCTCGAAACCACGCATTCCCCCCGCGCATTTAATTATAGATTAAGAATGCATTCTCATCAAAATATATCTGCATACTTTATGTTTCCCTTGTCGCACAAGAGGGGCATGGGGGTCTTGTCATTCACTCACTGGGAGGGGAGAAGGCATTGGGGTTTGGGGGGGGGGGGGTGAACAGAACTCTTGTCATATACTACCTCGCCTGAAATTATCTCGCCATTTAGGGGGTCTACGTGGTCTCGAGACGTGGTGTCTACCTCGAGTGCTAGAGGTTCCGGGTTCAATCCCCGGTAAGGGCTGGGTTTTTTCACGTGGACTTCTGGTAATTCCCCCGTCTCTGGGTAGTGAAATCAGACGCCTGTGTGCATTGTTGAGCACGTAAAAAATTATCTTGGCAGTGGAAATAGAAAAGAGTAGCCTAACGGGGCTGCCCGGGAAAAATTTGGAGTTAAAAATCTACCCAAAGTATTTTAGGATCCTCGCTGGTGCTACAGAGCCTGTGCACTGTGCTGAGCTTTTTCGGACTCAGACTTGAGTTGGAAGAAGAACGAAGCACTTATGGGTTACTACCTGTGTGCCATGGTGTTGATTAGTTGTTCAAACCTCAAACCTCCATCTCTGGCCATTTATCCAGCCCTATGTACTTTAAAGCCAATGCATCTTCAGTGTCTTGTATCCAACTTCACCTCAGCCTCTTTTTCCGGAAACAATGCCCTCTATCACCGTTCTATTCTGGCCGCCTTAACATGGCCAAAATACCCTAGCTTTCGGGACAGGATGCTGTTTATGAGGCAATTCGACTCGTTGCTCAAATCATGTAGGATGTCGGCATTCTGTTTCTTCTGCGTCCATTGTATTCTAATAGTTTTTCTGTAGCATTTAAGTTAAGAAGCTTCGATCTGTCTCTTCTGTGATTGTGTAAGAATACAAGAATTACACCCATAAGTTGCCAAAGGAAAGTAATCCTTGGATAGGGCAATCCAATCGTGAACAGCATGTGACCTCAAATGCCCGTGTTCAGTGACCCCACCCTCGTTCCTTGTTTCCACCTCGCTGTCCTGTCCGACACACATAGTTGCTTGTCCTTTATGGTTTTACCTGGCAGTTTTACGTCCAGTAGTTTGCCATTGTCACTTAACTGTCGACTCTCGATACCAATGTCGAAATCATCGCAAGACGGTCTGCTGTCAAATCACCCGCAGTCGGAATCCAACGGGGTACCTCTAAATTATGAAACGCGTTCGCAACCCGCAAGCCACCTGCACAGACGTGTCACACCCTTTTCTGTACCTAAAAAGTAGTAAATAAGACAGCAAAAACAGTTTAAGAAAACGCTTAATAAATAAGCGGTTCTTTTATTTATCTTCTTCTTTACGTCATCTTTTACCGCTTCAGGTGTCGAGGGAGATATAAGGTCCTGCTTCGTTCTTTTCTGGTTGCTTCGACCAAAGACACATCGTGGTACTGTAGAGTTTCTCTGATGTTGTCCTTTCATTTTGCTCTTGGTCTACCTCTTGCTCTTTGTCCCTCTCCTCTTTTTGTATATGCAGTGTATGGTATAGTAGCAGAAGGCATTCTCTCCAAGTAAACCATTTGATTTGCTGTCTTTCTAAGTAATTTAGAATTGGTTCTGTGCCGACTTTATCTTGTATGACCTCATTCCTGATTTTATCTCTTCTGGTCCCTCCTACAGTCTTTCTTAGACCCCTATTTCCATGGTTACTAATTTTGTTTTATGTTTTGTTGAAAGTAACCATGTCTGGCACTGGTAGCATAGGATGGGAATGAATATGTTTTGTATGAGAAGCTTCTATGTGCTAAATGGGATTTTATTTATCTCCTTATCATATCTTTCATCAGGCGTCAGTGGGTAGCCCAGATATTACAAACAATAAACTGTTAAAAAATTATTTAGTTAAAAATAAGATGAAGTAAAATACACTTTGTCATATCATGGCGAGTGCTACCAATTTTACGTTAGGCTTGCTTTAAAAACACCACCATTACCACTTAACAAGCTTATCGTAAAAGACATCTAATTGAATCGTTGCTAAAATCATATATGTTGTGCCAACAATTCTAAAAAATAAAGAAGAATGAGTTATTTATGATTTAGTTAGCACAATGTCGCATTTACTTTTTTAGGTTGGGTCCATCTAGAATCGCAAATTAATTACTTTAATGTTTGATAATGCGATAAATAATTACTTTCATTTACGTGCATGCTTACCTTTGAACACGTAGCCCTCGCTATATTTATCCGTATCGTTTGAAAAGCACTTGCTTCCTTGTTAGGTAGAATAGATGAGATATTTTCAATGATGTATGTACAACTTGAAAAAAATTTACTAATCGAAATCCTCCACTGAGAGAAAATCATTTACCAGTCGACTAATTCATCAACTGAAATCATTCACCAGTCAAAGTATTACTGCAGTAGACGTAATTCACTAGTGGAAATCATTTCAACAATCGCAAAGAATCATAGAGAGAAATCATTCACAAATCGAAGAATTCACGAGTTTAAATTTTTAACCAATCACAGTCAACCACCAATCGAATAACTTACCAACGTAAATCATTCACCAATCGAAATCATTCACCAGTCAAAATATTCATCAATTGAAATCATTCAACAATTCAAATGCCACCAACTGAAATAATTCAACAAGTCAAGCAATTCTTTAACTGAAATTATTCACCAATTTAAATCATTTACCATGTAAAATCATTCACAAATGAAATCATTTATAAATCAAAACAATTCAGCAATTGAAATCATTCGCCAATCGAATAATTTACCAATCGAAATAATTTAGCAGTGAAAATAGTTCACCTATTTAAACCAGTTAATAAATTACTCATTAGACTATTGGCTAAAAACTGATACTCATTAAAACATACGTGACTTAAATTGGTTCAAAGAGTTGAGAATCTGCAAGTTCAGATGTTGAAAATGCATCTGGGTGAATTTTAACAATTGCTCTTGGCTGGCAGATCGAGAATTAATAGCGTGGCTAGAGTTTCGTCTTTTGGCAAGAAGCTCTTGGGCTCTAATCCACATGAAGACGGATTTTTGTCAAACTTGACCTTGGCTCTGAGGTCGACTCAGTCTCAAATGGGTGCCAGGTAATTTATTGGAAGTAAAGGTGACTGCAATAAGACAAAGAAGGTTGAGATATATTGGACACACTCTGAGACAAAATTGGCAAAGAATTACAAAACAGACACTGGAAGGGGAAACATACGGTATGAGAGAGAGAGAGAGAGAGAGCGAAAAAGGGACGTCCAAGGAAAACATTATCACCAGAGGCAAAAAATGCTAGGTTGAACTCCATGTCCAAAGCGGAGAAAGTTGCACGAATATTATGATGATGATAGTGATGATGCAAGGTGGTCGGCGTGAGGCTAACCACACCACCCAGCAAGTGCTGATGACTCTATAAACATCTCTAGCATGATTTTTATGGAAGGGGGCGGGGGTGGGGGGTGAGAAAGGGGGCTAGAGTGAAAGGAGTGGGTAGGGTGGTTCAAAGGGTTCATTACGTTGACTTTACTTAGCAGATCGACACAGGCTTGACATGGCTAACCCCCCCCCCCCCCCCCCAACCCAAAAAATGACATGGAAAGTAAAGCTTGTGGTTATGATATTGGTCATGTCGCCTATTGCGATTCAAATGGTTTATAGAAATATTGTACTACATTCTATTTGACCAACACATCTTGATGTCGGCATCGGCTCCTCACTCACACACTCAGTCTCTCACTCACTTACTCACTCACTCACTCACACCTCCGCCTACTCGATCACTCACTCACTCATTCACTCACTCACTTACTCTAGCTCACGTATTCGCTGGCTTACTCACCCAATCACTCATTTACTCACTCATCCAATCACTCACTCACTCTCACTAACTCTCTAACTCACGTTTTCGCTCGCTCGCTCACTAACCCAACCACTAACTCACTGACTCACTTGTTCGCTCCCTTCCCTCTCGACTCACTCACTCATTCACTTACTCATTCACTCATCCAATCACTCACTCACTAACTCACTTATTCAGTTCCTCCCCGTCTCACTAACTTTTTCATTCCCTCACCCAATCACTTACTCACTCACCCAATCTCTCACTCACTAATTTGATACCTCACTCACACACTTACTCATTCACTTAATCACACAATCATTCACCCATTTACTCACTCATTCACTCATTCACTCAGTCACTTATTCGCTCGTTCACTCACTCACCTATTCACTCACTCTCTCATCTTCTCACAACTCACTAACTTACTCTCTCACTCACTTACCTATCCATTCAATTGTTTACATACAGTAAGTAAACTTACATAACGTTTCCACGTTCCTGGCTGTGGATGAATATATATATATATATATATATATATATATATATATATATATATATATATAAAGAATTAGGTAGATGATGTCCGGACACGTAATTAACACAGGCAGTGCTTTTCGTGTTGTTTACCACGCTCTGAAGAGGAGACTTGAGAATCGCGGAGGCTTTAACAATAAAAATCAACAATCCCCTCCTTTGTAAGCAAAGTGAATTTTTTGTAAATTTGTAGTTACCCTGGTAAGTCACGTGACTACGGTGAGCTTCTGGCGGCCATTTTTTTTAACGTATCCAGAAACCATGAGTTGTAAACCCTTTGGCTCGGTACTATGGATATCGCAACCCTTCGGCATTGATTTCATTATTGGTACCGTTAATCTGGGAGAAATGTGGCTTTTCTCCCTACCCCCGGGAGTGAACCCGGACCACAAGGAGTTCGTCACCCGGCCGCCGCGAAAGTCAGGTTTAACCAACTTCGCTAGAGAGCCGGGCTCTGGCGGCCATAAAACACACACAATGAATCAAAAGAAACTATTCGCATTTCAGTTGAATTTATTCAGTTTTGTGCTTTATTTTATGTTGATGTAACTCTGTAGTAACGCAGCTGACAAGATACAGCGAAATATGCATGGCAATAAATTGTGCAATGTATTGTTTGTGTCCGCATTATTTAAATTCATTGCGGAAAAACATTGTTTTGAATATATATATATATATATATATATATATATATATATATATATATATATATATATATATATATATATAAGTAAATAAAATGCGAATGAATATACACAGTAAAAAATATACAGGTAAATGTGTATGGGAACTATATACGGGTTAATTTACACAGGTAGTATCATTGTTGTTGCTTATGCAAGAATTGTTCTAGAGATGTTGTGTGTCTGTGTGAGTGTGTTTGTGTGGGTGTTAGTCATACCTAGCTGATGAGCTGGTACTAAATATTCTTATATCTGAGAATTGCTAAATAAATATAATATGAATTAGACATTAAATATAATTGCGGCGTTTAAAAGGAGTTATGAGATATGAATAATGAGTTGGATTATCTTCACAGCACTCCGGACATATCCATATGTGCTCAGATTCCCCTCTCAACATGTTTATCAGTGTCGTGAGGTTAATAGTGCCAGTCCTGTGCTGGTTGACAAGATTTCGTTTGCGTCCGGTTTGTTCCTCGTGCTTGGTTGGCTGTGCCGATCTTTTGTCCCATTTCTCGTATTCTTAGCAGTAATATGGACACTCTGCTTCCATAATCATCGGAACGTCCTATCTCTCTAATGGCATCGACAATGTCAGCGTGAGCGATAGGCCGGCCATCTTAAATAAATGCGGCATCTGCCAGTCTATCAGCTCTTTCATTACCAACAACACCTGCATACCCTAGGACAAATATGAAGGTAAACGCAAACACAGAAAAGTTTTGCAATGACTCAATCCACTGTCTGCGTAACCAGCCTGCCTCGACCCGCCGGATCTTGCTCAATGAGTCACTCAGCACACACACGCGGGAATAGTCCTGTGATTCTAGCCACGTACAAGTTTGTTTCACTGCCATCACCTCCATCGTTATACTACTGGTAGTCATAGGAAGATGGCACCTCTGGCTTCTTTAACTGTTCTGCATCAAGAGCGAGCTGTAAATGCCCATGCACTCTTATGTCCTCGTATAACGAACCTGTCTATAAAGATCAGCACATCTGTCTCATCTGACTTGTCACTGACAAGCGCGTACCTCGGCGTTGACAGCAGCGGATTTCTGCCCCCGACAATTTCCTATTAAACATGTGACGAAACGACCTCAGTGTTTTCAGAAGTTAGTACGTCTAAAAATTTCTTCTGTTTATAAGAGACAGAGAATTATATTTTCTATCCCTTAAGCCCGAATATTACTTAAAGCACATGAGATTGTAAAATTGTTTCCAGTTCTTAGTCCAGACAAAGCAGCCAGGCTTTGTTTAATATTATATAACATTCTGATTACCTAATATAGATAGCTGGTCTACCTGGGAAAGTTAAGACATAGTGGCTATATGGTTTGATTGTAGAACTGTAGTGTCATATAATTATCTCCTAGCCAGACCTTTAGAAGCAGATAACCCAACTAATTTCCCCCACTGAGATTATCTTCCTTGAACTGTAGACCAGACCATAGTATCATAAAGGTTACATCATCGGCCCTTTTAACAGATAAGATAAGGGTAATTAACGTTCTCTAGTAGGACTCCAGACATGGCAGGGTCCCTTGGACCATCGTTTTACCCCTTGATCTGCAAGGTACTTCTGGGGCGTGGCTTAGATCTTCTCCGGTAGGACAGGTTAAATACTGGAAAGGGGACGAGTTTAATTTGGACAATAGATAGGTACTTATACCGCTAGCATTTAAGATTTACTTCATAGTGCTGCCAGCAAGCAACAAACTCAGATCAACAGTTGAAAGTAATTCTAGCTGTTTGAGTCTTGTTTTCAATTGCTGGAATGTTCCAACTCCCGTCGGGGTGAAGACCAGTCTGCTCTGATAGCAGAACCAGAGGGTCATGAGCACGAACCTACACTGTGGGAGATCGGCAAACTGGAAACAGGCGGAGAAGGAGGTGGAACCAGCTGAAAAGAAGCTGGAAGAGGTGGAAAAGCCTGACAGTGCCTCACGGCTGTCAGAGGTTTTATCACTAAGTTACGTCAAAATCGTTTTCGTAAACTTATCACCATCATAACACCACTCTAATTTCAGGTGCTCAGTTTTCTAGCTGAAGCATCTCATCACTATCATCACTAGCCAGTCACTGTTTGTGTAAACACTGCACACTGGTAAATATCATCTAAATGATTTTTAGTAAATAAAGCTATGTGTCCTGTTTTATACTACATTGTTTGTTAAATTCCAAGTGTATTCATTCTTACCTGTTTAACTAAACTATTAAATAAAATTGCATTTGGTGGGGGCTCTTTAATAATTCTTTACCAGGAGGAGGTTTCGGGAAATAGTCACCTGTCCTGTCTTACAATTCATTTCTTGAAGTAATCTAGATCTAAAACTCCTTTACTTCTCCTTTGAGTACCAAGTGCAGCTGTTGTGTATTTACATGACGAGCTAAATATGGCTGTTTTCTTGGATATCCATGACTTTTTTTGAGATCAAGCTAGCTCGGATAATAGTCTAGTTTCTCTGGTGGAGGTGAAGTGTTGAGAGGAAACTTCCTACTCATCACAAAAACATCTGTCCACTTCGGGAGCCGCGACAAAACGTCACGACACAGGAGAATGTGAGATTGGGCGCTTTAGACGATGGTATCCGCTCCTCAACTAAGAATATTTCTATGGCTTTTCAGATCAAAACACTGATTTTTTCTTTTAACTTTTCTTTTTAACTGGGAGATAACCCACAACTTACACTCGTATGTTACTACAAAGAAGTTCCATGCTCTAAAAATTTTAACTGTGATACACCTCAATGAAAGTTATATTCACCACTTTGAAAAACTATGCACTACACCCACTGAAAAAAGGATTATAAACATGTATAGACACTTACCCTAAAAATTTGAAGCTCGTGAGCATAATATTCATCTTCAATAACATTATAAGGCCGATCCATGTAGGGCCCTAACTCCACATTGCCCATCAGGCGTCGGGGCGCATAGCTTTTCTCCAAAAACGTGTAGCCACCTTCCTTCCGAGACTGGATGCCAATTTCTGCGTGAACTTCCAGAAACTCTAGATACTCGAAGTTGCTTTTTCGTCGCTTAGCAACACGTGTCAGTCATTGCAAAAAATCATCGGGAGGGGGGTAAGAGAAATGACAGATTGAATTTGGCTTAAATACCTCATCAAGCTGTAAAAGCGGTTTCTTCTTCTTTTTCTTCTTCTTCTTCTTCTTCCACCTCTTCTTCTTCTTCTTCTTCTTCTTCTTCTTCTTCTTCTTCTTCTTCTTCTTCTTCTTCTTCTTCTTCTTCTTCTTCTTCTTCTTCTTCTTCTTCTTGTTCTTTTTGTTCTTCTTCTTCTTGTTCTTCTTCTTCTTGTTCTTCTTGTTCTTCTTCTACTTGTTCTTGTTCTTGTTCTTGTTCTTGTTCTTCTTCTTCTTCTTCTTCTTCTTCTTCTTTTTGTTCTTCTTGTTCTTGTTCTTTTTGTTCTTCTTCTTTTTCTTCTTCTTCTTTTTCTTCTTCTTGTTCTTGTTCTTCTTGTTCTTTTTCTTCTTGTTGTTCTTCTTGTTGTTGTTCTTCTTCTTCTTGTTCTTATTCTTGTTCTTCTTGTTCTTCTTGTTCTACTTGTTCTTCTTGTTCTTGTTCTTGTTGTTCTTTTTCTTCTTCTTCTTTTTCTTCTTCTTCTTCCTCTTCTTCTTCTTCTTCTTCTTCTTCTTCTTCTTCTTCTTCTTCTTCTTCTTCTTCTTCTTCTTCTTCTTCTTCTTCTTTTCGTTCCTCCGAGTGAGGTAATTGCCTTGTGCCTGTTAACATCAAAGCTGCGATATTTGCACCTTTATCACTTGTGAATGCCTAATGCGTCAGCAGCGACATGGAGAGGATATAACTGCGTAGATAGTAGTAGAAGCAGCTGCAGCATCCGTAGTAATAGCAGTTCTAGTAGCAATTGCAAAAGTATTCTTTGTAGCTGTAAAAGTTGTGGTGGGGATGATTAATAGTAGTGGTGAGTATAGTAATAGTTCTAGCAGACATAAACCTGTTGTCCAAGGCGATGTTTTCATGTCATTGAAGCTTGATTTCATTCGGGCTAGTAGTGGTGCTCCTATGATTCGTACCCAGTAATAATCATGTCTTCACCTCCGTCTGCGTATCGACAGAGATGCTGCAAGGACACGCCTAATCGGTTCATTGTGTGTTCGTCCGCCAATAGTCTGGGTACCCACCTTGAGCATATTTGTTTTCCCAATTTCAATTAATCATGCATTATGTTGTATGCTGAACCATATGAGCACCATTTTGCAGCTGCTACAGGGTCAACCGTTACTCGCCTGTCACTTCTAATCATCTCCTCCACTCGCTGCATGGATGCGTCTGTTGCAATGGTGCGCATCCAGTCAATCACCTCATCTGCTGTTGCCTGTAACTCTTCAGCTATTTGATTTCGATCTCTCCCCCTTCTATATACAAGAACATAATCTGCAAATGTCAATATTCTGCCAACTCGTAAAAACATTGAATAGTACAGGTGAAATTGTAGATCCTTGTGGTAGTCCTGGAGCTATAATACATGGTTCAGAGGTCCATGAACCCAGCTGGAGAAGCCGATCGTCCAGAGCAATGGCAAACTACTGGACGTAAATTTGCCTAGAAAAACCACACAACAGCCAGGGGCTGTTGGGGTTGGCTCTGCAACGTCCTGTAAAGGATACGCAACTAACCTAATAGGCTTTCACCGCTTCAAGGTACCATAACCTGTGTGTGGATTATATTTAAAACCACCCTAGGATTTCTGAGCCTCTGTGGTCTAGCGGTTAGACGCTCGCCTGTGGATCTGAAGGACGTCGGTTTGGGTTTTGACGGGTCCGGGCTATTTTTTAAATCTAAAATTCCCGAGCTCCCGACCTTCCGATCCGCAGAACACGCATTAAACAAAGTGAAACCTGTGCATCTAATTATTTGATTTAAAGCCGCGATGGAGTAGGACTATACTTTTCCCCTTCAGCACAAAGGTCTGTATTTTGCTCATATCGGAAAATCGGAAAACAAGGAAAATCCACAGGTCACGGGACAGTCTAATATTTCAGGGGGTGGTAGATTAGGCGCATAGTGTGGTAATTTGGCATTTCATTTGCCGTGAAGTTTTGTGCTGTGCAGTTTTCAAAACAAAAAACACAGACAGCCGGGTTGGGAAACCCGGTCTTACCACCTTCAAAAATTTTGGACTGTCCCGTGATGTCATATGTTGTCGGATATTGGGAAAGAAGCCAAAGGTCTTGGGCTCATAACTGAATCGATCCAAATATTGTTCTTCAAAAAGTGACGTTGGCTGTCATGTCGATCCATTCCAGAACTGGTCCCACCTCAAGTCAAGATAAGTCGAGACAGCTGGTACGATGCTGTTTACTAACTATCGCCTTATTATGGAAGGCAATTTGGGGTTATTTTAAGACCATACCCGCCTGTCGTCTGGGCTCCTGAAAATTACCTAACGATTGAAAGAGGATTATGGACGTGTTCTCTGGTGATTCTCTTCCGAAGGTTGGCACTTTGTGTCACCGGGTGTTTATCGCTCTTTGGGAGCCACGTTAGCGCAGTCGATAGGAGACTCGATTTCAAACCCAGCAGCGACTCGCTGCAGCCCACGACCGGTGTTCGAAACCGGGCTCCTGGGGTTCACCCAGCCTCTAGGAAATAGGTACCAGAGTTAACACCCTGAGGTAAATGGAGGAACGTCGCTGTAGCTACGGAGCAACGTGCGGACGGCGACACAGGCGGACAGTTTTTTATCAGATGTCCGTACTAGTGGCAGAGCACCTATGGTTAATAACCGTGTGCAATGACGCTGGTTCATCTCTCCCGACTTCACCTTTACCTTTTACCTTTGTTTATCGCTCGTTGGACGGTCCTGGTGAGGTTGCAGGTCATTCAGTCAATCGATGCTGTTCCCATCACTCATAATCGGTAAAATATTTCAGCCCATCGTCATATGACCGATGCGTAACTGGGGTGAGTATGTAATGGCGACCGGGTCACCCACTGGCACGCTGGTAGACGACTTCGTGGCCGGTCGGAACAGTGTGTCTGTCTCCTTTGATCGCAATAACACTGTAGGAGTCCTTTCCAGGGCTCTTGGCGGCGTGCTATGCTGTCATTTTATATGACGCACAAAACCTAGTCACAGTTATAGCCTACAGCTCCTCCTTCGGGTTTGCTGGTTAAATAAGACAATCCTCCCCCCCCCCTCCCCCCCCCCAGCAAAACACTTATCACCTTGGTTGAATATAGTCCTTTCCTTTACTCATTTTCTAATTATTAATTACGTTACCTATTTACTATTTTTTACTTTACTTATTTACTAACTATTTGATCATCTAACAGTTGTAAACTTACATCTTGGTTGACTGCTTTCGTTTTCTTCTTGAAACTAAAACACATTTTGTGTGTGTTTATTTTTACTGAACTGGAAAACAATTACAATTTTCTATTAATATTTTCTAGATTTTCAAAGAATGTATGCCATCTTTATGATGAAAATCAAAAGAGAAATTTTAAGAACCTATTTCTTTTAAATTGGCCACATTAATATTATTATCTTGAAAACTCTCCGTTCACAGGAAATAAATAAATGAGAAAAGTGTGTGCTGACGTCACTACAGTTTTCTGCAGCGCGAACAGTTTTACACAGAAACGTGGAGAGTAATTATCATTGTAGTCAAATGCCTTACCGACTGGCGTAGGCGATCATGCCTCTTTACAATCCACGATACACTGTGTGTATCATCTCCTATGCTCTCCCTTCTTTGCGATCACAAATATCTGTCAAAAATCTTCTCGCGCTGTCTTTCTTTGTCTCTCTTTCCACAGATCTTTCCTGTGGTCACAACATGCTTCAGCTTCCCTCTTCTCATAATCATCGGAATTGCAACTCTTCGCTTGCTCCTGAAGATGGGCGCTAATGTTTTAATTTCTTCTGACGTGTCTTAGTCTCTTCCTTGCATTTAAATTTGTTCTATCTTGTTACAGGTATTCATAATAAACTGTTTTTATCTCCAGTGATCTCTCTTCTGATTTCGTTTGCGTATTTCGTGTATGCATGGCTATTTGTTTCTGTCGCTGTATGTTTTAAATTTCTTCTTTTTTCCATCAGCTGTAATGTTTTGTCTGTAATGTAAGTCTGTTTCTTTAGTTGTTTTTTTAGTAATCATGTTTCGAGCAGTTGGGATATTGGTGATGATTCTTGCTTCACTGGATAACTCATCCGGTGTCATTCCTCCTGCAATGAGTGCCTCGATTTGATTTGATTTGATTTGATTTGATTCAAGAACCGACATCACAGCACTCGGGGCATTCCCATAAGCGCTCTGTCGCCATCTTCAGCAACCAGCGAAGAGTTCCGACACTAATGGTGCCAGCAGCATTCTGACTAAACGTCCGTCTTGCCTTTTCTCTGAGCCTCGAGCATCTGCCAGAACCTCTCGTCACCCCCAACTGCATCAATCTCACCAGACTGTGGTGATCCATCTGCTCCTCCGAATTGTACACGCTCTCCCACAAGGCACTAACCACGTCTGCCCTATCATGTATCAGTATTCCACCAAGTTGTGCAGAGCCAGCCAGTCTGTCCACATGTTCATTTCCCAACAAACCGCCTCGAATTTATTGTTAACCTCAGTGCTGTAATCACTTTGTACATGTCTTTAGTCAAAACCTTTGGCTTTGCACCTTGCAACACTGTTTTTCAATTTCTTTTTAAAATCTGCAAAAAATATATTTATGAGCAGTGTCACAGTCGGCTCCAGGGAGTGTCTTTTCAGGTGTTATACATGTCCTCCAGTTTTGTTGTATTAAGATATAATCGATCTGGTTCCTGCTATTTCCGTCCGGTGAAGTCCAGATGTAGAGCCTTGTTGGGTGTTGTTTAAGTAGTGTATTGGTAATAGACAGATTTTCTTTCTATACAGAATTCGATCAGTTTCTCCCCTTTCTCATTTCTATCTCCTTTGCCGAATGGGCCTCTAAATATTTCGTTTATCTCCATTCTAACCCCGTAGCGAAAGACAATGGAAAATCTTTAGTGAAAGCAGCCTAGCATATGACACAACTACATATAGCACCACTCAAAGATCTGCGGCTACAGAATCATCTCGATGCAGAATACTGTTGGCAAACTTTTGGAAAAAATTGTCTCACAAAGATTGACCACCTACTTGGAACTACATGATAAGTTCCTATCAACACTTGGAGGGTACAGGTTGAAGAAAGAGACATGGTTCAATGCTGCTGTTTTCGCCTACGATGTGTACGAGGGATTTCAGATTAAAGAAGAGACATGTGCGGCAGTGTTGGACTTAGAAGATGCCTACAATAAAGTACCATACGAATATTTAATGTAATTACTGCTTAAACTAGAAGTCAATCCTATTCTGATCTGCTGGATTGCTGCGGTCCTGTTCCAGAGAAAGATTGTACTAAGATGTGGTAGCTGGTCCTCAGAACCGCAAACGATATGTCCAGGCTTGCCACAGGGATCACTGCTATCACCAGTCTTATTCAACGTTTATACGGTGATGATCACTGAGCAGCAGTTGAATGGAAAGGGAAGGACTTTGTCATGATGACATTTTGATTTATCGACGAGGGCGTGATAGACAGGAGATCGCCAGCACAATGCACAAAGAACTCGATCGAATTGCCGCCTGGTGTGATGGTTCCAATGCCTATGTCAATCCTTCGAAGGCATCAGTGTCATGGTTCTCTTTGAACAATCACATTGTCAAGTCGAACTTACCAGAAGTGAAAATGCGTGATAATATATTGATCAGAACCAACGTTATGACGTTTCTCGGGGTGAGGTTCGATCGCAGCTTGTCATTCAGGGAACACGTTGACCATGTGATAACAAAAGCACGCAAAGGTCTATCTGCAATGAGGATTATGGCTGCTTCCAATATCGAGCAAAGACTACTAATACTTCTATTCTACGGTCTGGTCCTTTCACCCATTGAATACGCTCTGTCCATCCTCACTGTCAGTGCTACCCAGATTGAAAGACTCGAAAAGGTGCAAAATGAAGCCATGCGCGTTATTTTGGGATGTACAAGAGACATCCTGTGAAGCAATGAGGTATCTACTTGACTTTCCAACAATGAACCAATGGATCAGGATGTGGAGGGCTCGGGCATACCTCAAAATATGTGCTGATAAGAAACACCCACTGCATCAGGCGCTTTTTAGTGAAAAGGGCGACAGACTGAAGAGGGGAAAATCGTGGCTAGGTCGGGCAGAAGATGTTATTAGGCAAATATGCAGCCTAACCGACATCATACCTGGTGCAGAATGGATAACTGTGCCTCAGGCGTTTATTTGTACATTTTCCTGTATTGTCACACTCAACAGGCGATGTAGAGAAGAGAATCCTGTTGCTGTTAATGCAGAGGTCAACGCTCTCATCGGTGAAAATTCAGACGAAGCAGATGCACTAATCTATACAGACGGATCCGTTATACGCCAAAGAAGAAGCGCATGGGCATTTACAGCACGCTCAGCGGGCAGAACAGTCAAAGAAGCCAACGGTGCCTTCTCCATGACAACCAGCAGCATGACGATGGAGGTGATGGCAGTGACGCAAGCGTTTGCCTGGCTTGAAACACAAAAATACACCCGCATATGTATACTCAGTGATTCAATGAGTATGATCCGGAGGGTTCAGGCAGGTACAGTGCGAAGACAATGGCTTGAATTATTACAGAAGTCCACTGTGCGTGGAGTCACCTTTATTTTTGTTCCGGGACACGCAGGCGTCGATGGAAATGAAAGAGCTGACAGGTTGGCTGGATCCGCTATCACTTCCGACGGTCGGCCTATGGATCATGCTGATATTATCAATGCCCTCAGAGAAATGGGAAGGATAGAGGACTTTGGTGGCAGTGAATCCACATCACTCGCCAGAATCGCAGACTTGGGAATTAAGATCGGCATAGCAAAAAACGAGACGCACACCGGACACGTCAGAAGACTTGTTAATCAACATATAACTGGTACTATTAGCCATCGGACGTTGGGGTTCATACTGAGGGGAGGATCTGAGCACCTATGGACATGTCTGGAGTGCAATGACGATAACCCAACTAACTAACTAACTAACTAACTAACTAACTAACTAACTAACTAACTAACTAACTAACTAACTAACTAACTAACTACATATAGCATGAGAATGGAGGTGGAGGCGATAACTGCAGCTCTCCGGTGGCTAGATAACAAGATGCATACACATGTCGTAATTGTAACAGCCTCTGAAAGCATGCTGAGAAAGGCAAAGACACGGGTGCTTCGAATAGAGTGGCAAGCTTTATTGGAAAAGTCACGACTAGTGAGCATACTTTGGATCTTTTATCCATGCAATGCCGGCGTGGTGGGTAATGAACAGGCAGACAGATTGGCTGGATCCGCACCACTGTGTAGTGAACTGATACACGACAAGGCAGATGTGGTCAATGCCCTTTGGGAACAAGCAACGAAATCAGTAAAGAAAGAAGATTATTATGGCCTGGAGAAAATTAGGCACCTGTGTGTAACCAGAGGGTCTGGCCGGCTAACTACACTCAGAGGAACACATATAACCAGACTGTGACCGGCACCATCAGTACTGGAACTCTACCCTGGCTGCTGAAGATGAGGACGGAGCATGCATTGGAATGCCACTAGTGCTGTGATGTCAATTCTTGACTCAACTCAACTTGAATAATTGTGACGGTCCATTTCTATGACTTAAGTTTGACAGTTCGAATTCGGTCGCTCATCGGATTGTATCCAAGAAGTGAAGAAGACACTTTGTTTTTGTCGTCAGAAAACTCAACTTGCTCAGACCACTCTCTTCCTTTCCTAAGTGAACATAAGTATCTCCTGTTTGGGTCACAAAGTGGCCTTGACCCGCCCATCTATGTTCAAAAATTCCTAGTAAATATATTTTGTGTTTCTTTCTAGTTTCCCTTCCAAGGATGGGAACCTTTCTACATGCTCCTAACATTCTATGTTCCCAACTTTAGAGTTTTCTATAGGCTGGTGACAAAGTTTAGTGTTGTAGTACCGTCGGGCTTAAGGCAGTCATCAAAACTATACTTACTTGCTCTGTCATCGTTCTCTGCATCAATTCGTGTTTGTGATCTGCTTGGCCTGGTGTCCTCACCATCAAATCTTTGAGTTTTGTTGTTGGCTTCCACGATGAGATTCTTGGGATAATAATGCTGTTGTTTCCCCTTGCTTTCCACATCCATATGGCTTCAGACTATGTCTTCAGCCTTCAGTAACCTTTTAGATTGTCAGGGCAAGTGAGTGTTTACCATTCTCTACCGCCTACAGGTGCAGTTGTTGTGGCTTTCCATTCGCTGAGTCTTGAGACCAGAAAGGCGTTTTTCAAAACTGTCCAGTACATTTCAGAGGGTTTGTAATCATGTTTTTAATGTGTTTAATCTGACTTCTGTTTTGTAGTAGTTGATGTAGCGACTTTGAGCTCTGTCTGGTTGCAGAAAAACAAAAACACAAGAAAACTCCTCAAATAAGCAAACCTGAACGGAGCAACGCAAGGCGAGTTCCTTGGTGCACATATTAACAAAAGAAGCTTAACTGTGCTTTCTACTTTTTGGCTCTGTCCCTTTCTCTTCACACTCTATCTTTTGTCCTTCTGTCTCTCTCACACACATACACACACACACTTCTTCCAGTCTGTGCAATTTTATAGAAAATAATTCAAAATAAAGCCATAACTATTATGATGGCAAGAAGTTTATTTATTATAAATAACATTAGAAGCAAAATCCACAAACAATAACTACTCTTTATTCACAAAATAATAAAATAGAAAATAAAGTAAAACACACTGCCACAAGATCAAAGCACCTGACTGAATATAGCTATGACTTAAAATTGAGCTTTATAATAAGGAATGCACCACAATATGCTTGGCCCATTTTATTTTATATTTACAATTTAGGTATATTTAAAAGATATATTTCAAGGTGTGTTTAGTCAGACACTTTTCAAATTACATATGGTTTAAAGCAAGGTGATGCTCTTTCCCCACTTCTGTTCAACTTGGCCCTGGAGAAAATTATAAGGAAATTGAAACAAGACTGTACTATAGGAGAATCTACAAGAATACTTGAACATGCATATGACATTGATATCGTTGGAGACAATGAACTAGAGACTAAAAATCTGACTCTTCATAGAGAAGCAGCTCACAAAATGGGATTAGTTATTAATCAAGATGAGGCAGAAAACATGATGATAACAAGACAGGAAAAGGATATAAACTACGGCCGCATACAAGTCGATAATTCGAAAATCAAAAGAACGGAAACATATAAGTACTTGTGTGCACACTTCAACTGCTCCAGCAGGCTAAAAGAACAAATACAATTTAGAATACAGTCTGGAAATTAATTAAAGTATATGTAAAACGTTGATAAGACCAATCGTTTTATACGGCTCTGAAACTTGGAGCACAACTAAAAGAGATAAAGCCTTATAACAAATTTTTTTAAACAAAATATTTGGACCTATTACAGATGCAAACAGCGGTTAATTGAGAATGAGAAGCGACAATAAAATTCGTTATCTGTTTAAATCACCAGTGATCACTGAAATCCTGAGAGCTAATAGACTGAAATTGCTGGGGCATACTGAGAGAATGTCAGATGACAGAGTGATAAAAACTGTATACACATGACAGCTGAATGGTCGAAGACTACGAGGCAGACAAAGAAGGCGATGGAGAGATAATGTTCAGACAGACCTGCAAACACTTGGTGTCACCAACTGTAAAGAGAAGGCCAAACAGGGAGATGACTGGAGACGGGTGATATCTGCAGCAATGAACCCCAAGGGCTCGGAATGTTGAAGGAGAATAAGAAGGTATATTATTTGTTTTTAAAATATATCGATAACTGTGTGTTGTAAGGACATTGATGAAAACAGCGTTACACTACATTGACATGTACACAATGTCTTTATTACTACTCACTACACAAAATAAACTGCAAACAAGCAAACTGCCATTGGATGCCTTTGTCACAGCAGGCATAAAGTAAAAGTGAAGGTCTTTTTTCAACGCCTTCAGGCGGTATTGGGCATATAGGGCTAGACCAATATTTAATAGACCACCGGCACTAGGTGGGAGATGTGGTCAGCATCACACCGGTTGCCTTTACATCCAAGGAAGACATACAGTGCTGGGCCCATATTTTTATATAACAATCGGCACCAGATGGATGATGTGGTCAACACCCAGGGACCATTTTCTTGTATCCATGTTTTCCTGGATCAGTCTAAGAGCCAATGTCAGTTAAAAAAAAATTAGTTTCGACGAGGACTCAAACCCCAAACCCTGGTGTATGCAGAAAAGTGTCTAGCAAAACACAACACACTTGATTACGTTCATGACATTCAATAGGGTTAGGAATACCAGCATTAGAGAAAAGGTTAGAAAAAGACAGTACCCACATAATTTTGACAAAGAATGAAATGGTTCGGCCATCTAGTGAGAATGCAGCCAAACCAAACAGCATATTAGATGTTTTACAAAAAAATACCCAAAAGGAAGGCGAGGGGGAATACAAAGAAAAAAGATGGATATATGATGTTGATGAGACCGGCAAAAAGATAGGCAATGCCACCACCTTAGTCAACCGAGAAGCGCAAGACAAATACAGAAAAACCACGACACTGGGCTACAATCTGTATTAGTGAGACCACAACAGAAGAAGAACAACAACAAGATGAAGAAGAAGAAGAACAAGATGAAGAAGAAGAAGAACAAGATGAAGAAGAAGAAGAACAAGATGAAGAAGAAGAAGAACAAGATGAAGAAGAAGAAGAACAAGATGAAGAAGAAGAGCAAGATGAAGAAGAAGAAGAACAAGATGAAGAAGAAGAAGAACAAGATGAAGAAGAAGAAGAACAAGATGAAGAAGAAGAAGAACAAGATGAAGAAAAAGAAGAACAAGATGAAGAAAAAGAAGAACAAGATGAAGAAGAAGAAGAACACGATGAAGAAGAAAAAGAACACGATGAAGAAGAAGAAGAAAACGAAGAAGAAGAAATAGACACTGTGTGTTTAGTTAAGTGTAGTAAAGGGCCCTTTCCACACCTGCGTGAGTATCGGGCATGTAGGGCTAGACCTATATTTTTTTTACCAATTGGCACTTGTTAGGTGATGCGGTCGGCATCGCGTATGCCGCCTTTACTTTCCAGGATTCTATCTGGTATCCATTCAAGGCCTGGTCGACCTGGGAGCTAAGGTCATGCTCCGTCTCGCGTTCTGTCTTGCTGGACGCGCACTTAATTTCTCTAGGTATCTATGGCGAAGTGGTGATACCGTTTGCCTCGCATTCTAAAAGTCGTGCGTTCGCTGCTAAAGCTATGAAATCCGTGCTTTGTGCGACGCTTTTGGTAGGCAGTAAGCCGCTTTGGAAACGTTATAATTGTGTATTTCACTTGATTCTCTGGGTAACTTTATAGAGTTGTTGCAATGTGTCTTTCACTTGAATATCTTAGTAATACTGAAACGTGACACTCGGGTCTTTCAAGTGGGTAACTGTGTAACACTGGAAACGTGACTTTTGGGTCTTTCACTTCAGTCTCTAGGTAAGACTGGAAACGTGACACGTGAGTCTTTCACCTGAGTCTCTAGGTAACATTGAAGATCTAACAAGTGTGTCTTATACTTGAGTCTGGGTATCATTAGAGACATGAAACTTGTGTATTTTGCTTGAGTTTCTTGTTTTTATTTTTTTATTAGAGATACGACACTTGTATCCTTCAATGAGTCTCTGCGTAACATTAAAATTGTGCCACTTGTGTCTTTCACTTGAGTCTCTGGGTAGCATTGGAGACGTGACACTTGTCTTTCACTTGAGTCTCTGGGTAACATTAGAGACGTGACACTCGTCTTTCACTTGAGTTTCTGGGTAGCATTAGAGACGTGATACTCGTCTTTCACTTGAGTTTCTGGGTAACATTAGAGACGTGACACTTGTGTCTTTCACTTGAGTTTATGGGTAGCATTAGAGACGTGACTCTCGTCTTTCACATGAGTTTCTGGGTAACATTAGAGACGTGACACTCGTTTTTCACTTGAGTCTCTGGGTAACATTAGAGACGTGACACTCGTTTTTCACTTGAGTCTCTGGGTAACATTAGAGACGTGACACTTGTGTCTTTAACTTGAGTCTCTGTGTAACATTAGAGACGTGACACGTGTGTCTTTTACTTGAGTTTCTGGGTAACATTTGAGACTTGACACTTGTGTCTTTTACTTGAGTCTCTGGGTAACATTGGAGACGTGCCAACTGTGTCTTTCACTTGAGTCTCTGGGTAACATTAGCTAGGGCAACAGCAAAGGCCTGAATAGCCGTGAACGGATACTGGAAATCCAAAGTGTAAGCATTGTTGTCTATCCGGCCAAACTGCATCACCTGTAACAGTTCAATAGATACGTTAACTCTTTACGGGTCGCTGAGTGAATTACAAAAGACAATGAAGTTCAAACAACAAATAACATTGCAGATATAGTTAATCTATTTCAAGCGAACGAAAGAAGAAGAAGAAGAAGAAAAAGAAGTTAACTCTTTCAATTCTCTTTCAATTCCAAAGATTCTCGAATAGTCAGTAGTTGTAACATAAAGTAACTATCGTCTTGATCCCTATCCCCTTTCCAAAACCTTCATACGTATTGGGCATATAGGGTCTAGCCCTATATATATGATTGCTGAGCGTCTAAGAATAAACACACTAGACGCACATGTTGACAACAAGGGTTCTGAGACACTCACCTGCGAATCCGAATGTCGTCGGTTGGGGTACTGACAGTGTAGGACTTTCGTCAGAAATTTCTTTGACTCCCAGGTCCCAGCCTTAAAGGGATCGGCTCTTGGTGGTTGACGTGGTAAACATCGCCTTTACTTCCATGGTCTCAACCTGGTACCCTTTTAAGGCTGAGACTGGAAATTTCTTACAAAAGTCCTGCACTGTCACGACCCCAACCGTTGAGATTCGGATTCGCAGGCAAGTGTTCCAGAAGAGTTGTCAATAGTTGTGCCTAGTGTGTTTATTCACAGACACTCAGCAATCAATTCTTCCTTCCTTCATTAGCATTCCTTTCCTGGTGTGTGCCCTCCTCCACACAAAACAGTCAACGGCATTTTGTTCGCACGACTATCAATTATGTCCTGCTTGCACAGAAAAACCTGTTGTGGCACTAAATTCAAGGATCATCGTGGAGAACGTTGCATCGATATTTGCCATTTAAAGATCACAGGCAACACAAGCATTCATACTGTTCGACATCTAATGAAGAGGACGAAGGACAGACGGTTCCCTTGAGAACCATGACGCCAGTTTTGTACGACAAATTTTAATAATTTCAAAACTTAAAAGAGCATGAAATCAAAATGAGTCTATCGAGAATAGGAGAAAACATTTAACTTTTTAAGTCCCAAACAATGCGTGATGTATGATTAGCACTTCTATGAACCCCACCCAATATGTATTTTGTCCCAATCCTTTTCCAGGCTGGTCACAGCATAGTTAAAAACCTGGCTTCCCCAGTATTTTGCGTGCTTGAAACTAGAACAGTCCTTTTTTCTCTGTTGGTTGTACAATCAGACAGTTACTGGTACCATCGGAATTTTAATTCTTCGATTGCTGCTGAAGATGGGGACGAAGCGCTTATGGGGGTTTCCTGAGTGCTGTGATGTCGATTCTTTATTCAACATTCAACATAATCTGTTGGTTATTATTCAAATGGGTATCTCCAGTCAAACCTTTTAGTACTGAAAGGTTTATATACGCGTACAAGAAAAGGACAAAATTTTACTCACTGTTTTGTTTACCTGTTTGCCTTTGAGCTCAATCTGGAAGTTCTTCGCCGACTCCTGTGTCACTCGGCCACCAAAATCCAGCTGATAAACCTGGCTGGTCTCATTCCACAGTGGTGCTTTGTTGTGCATTGTAAACGTTCGAGTTGGCTCTAGTCTGGAACTAGTTTCGTTCAGACGCCGTCTCACCTACAGGGTATCATTGTTCAGTAATATTCAGTATCCTCGCTTTTGTAAACATACAGTTAGAGCAGTGATTTAACCTTATAAATTTTAACAAACGAGATATAAACAATCGATTACACAATTTATTTACCGGGATGTTTCTCTGTCCGGTGTGATGTTGACCACATCTCCCATTGGTGCCGATTGGTCTATAAAAATATAAGTCTAGCCCTATATGCCAGTCGGCTCTGTGGCTAAGTCGATGCGAACTCTTCGTAATGCCGGGATGCCGGGTTCGATCCCAGAAGCGGGCTATGCGCCTTGCGTTGGTTTTGACAATGGTATCAAGAAAGCCGACCGTCCAAAAAGCAATGGCAAACTACTGGACGTAAATTTGCCTAGAAAAACTACACAACAGCCAAGGGCTGTTAGGGTTGGTTCTGCAAAGTCCTGTAAAGGATACGCAACCACCAACCTATATGCCAAATACCACTGAAGGCGTGGGAAAGAGTCATTTACCATACTTTTCATGTTTCGCTGTGGAAGGCACTTCACGAGATGCCGCAACATATGTCAGGAAATAAATAGTGCAGTATGGTGTCTCTTCTATGTGAAAATAAAACGGACAATACACATTTCTTTTCTTCTTCAAATAACCACGTATCCCCTACCCCTTCCCCCCCCCCTCCCCCACCCCCCACCCCCCCCCCTTAATCACCAAAAAAGGTACCAAAAAATGGTCATAGGAATTAAAAGCTGTCGCTTCCTAGAATTCCTAGTACGGTACCTATGGGGTTGAATGATACTTTGCCTGAAGGAAGTTAACGAATTTAAATATGAAGTAAGTATATTGTTGGAAAAATGGGTACCAGGATGGCTGTTCTGGTAATGTAAAGATGGCCAGCGTAATGCTGACCACATTACCCACCTAGTGCCGATCGGTCTGTTAAAAAAAGGGGATACTCTTCCCATATGCCCATCGCGCCTAGGGGATCTTTACATTTTACTATATTGTTGGAGGAGGAGAGAACAGATCGAGAAAAAGAAATAAGATGTTAACGAGCCAGTACACTTAAATACTGACTGATCTTTTTCTTAAGACATAAACACATAAGTATTCCCCGCCAATAAACAGATTAGACACAGCATATTCACACCAACACTGTGCTACCGTTGTCAAACCTGGACATTATCAAAGTCTGACCTAAGTAAATTAACACCTGTCGAATAAAAAACCTGCGGGAGGCCGCCCACTTACCCACCAGAGACGAGCGATAGAGGATACTTACGGTCAGACTATGGGAACAAAACCGTGCACCAAATTACAGAAGCTTAAAAGGTTTAGTAATTTCGTTAGAATGCAGCCACAATAAGTACAAACCCAGCCGCTAAACGTGAAAAGTTCTGATCTAAACGCAAGAGGTCGCACTAGGACAGCACATGATGATGATGATTATCATCTTCATATACCACTTTTGCCGTTAAGCCTCATGGGGAGGAATAATTTGCGATCCAGTGCAGGTTTGCTGCCACTGGCTAGTGTCATGCGGTAAAGACGCAGAGTGCCGTTAATATAGTCGATCCATAATTTCCGCGGCCGTCCTCTTACTCTTGTAGCTGATCTTCCGAGATGTAGTGCTCTCAATGGTATTTGATCTTGCTGCATTCGAACGAGATGACCAAACTGTTTCTCCACACGGCACTAAACGGCGAAAGTTGTAATTGACGATGATGATGATGATAACGATGAGTATGACCAGGATGATGATGATGACGACGACGATGATAATACCGATGCTGACGATGCTGTTGACGATGATATAATAATGATGATGACTACGTTGATAGTGATGATGATAATGACGATGAACGTTGATGACAATGATGGTGGCGATGATGATAATGACGATGTTGACGATGATAGTGATGATGATAATGATGATGATGATATATTAAGTACGGACAGTTCTATACAATTATACGTTTAGTAACACATATCTGACGCCCCAACGGCGTTGAAAAGGCCTTTCACGTAACAAGTAAAAGCACAATAAAATACCCCTTGCTCCTCCTTTGGGCGTATTAGGCATATAGGGTTAGACCTATACTTTATAGACTAATCGGCACGTGATGGGTGATGTGGTTAGCATCAGGCCGGCCGCCTATACTTCCTAGGACTCCACTTAGCACCCATTCAAGGCTGGGTCAACGTGGAAGCCAAGGGCATTTTTGAATCCACGACCTACCGATCCGCAGGCGTGTGTCTAGCCACTACACAACGATGGCTCCCGCTTCATAAAACATGACTTTAGTAGTTTGCCATTTCTTTCTGGACGATCTACATGATGATCATAATGGTCTAAATCAACGAAATGCGGTCTGTTGACAATTCAATCGCCTGCTGCTGATTGGGACTTTGTAGGTCCAATGCAAGGTCCACTATTGTTTTTTTTTTTAAGGCGAATCTAGGTTAATGGAAATTTCCGTTTTTGTGCAACTCCGAGGGGCCGGTGTGTTCACTATGTTTATCAAGTAGATTTATACACAAATTAAACTCATCATCATCATGTAGCAGGTCCTTTGCAGAACGTCTCTCTCATCACAGTCTGCCTGTAAGAAACTCGGTCTCTTGCCAGTTCTCCCGCCTCATGAACTTTCACACTCAAGGAGTCACTTATATCCTGTGCTCAACTTCGTGTCGGTCGGCCTCTGCCCCTCCTTCCTGGTACCATGCCTTCTGCTATAATTTTTTCCAATCCGTCGTGGCGCTTGATATGACCAAAATATTTCAGCTTTCGAGAAAGGATGCTGTTTATTAGCCAATCTTCCTTGATGTTCAGATCTTTTAAGATGTCAATATTTCTCATCTTCTTTGTCCAAGATATTCTGAGAATCTCTCTATAGCATTTCAGCTCAAAAGCCCGTATTCTCTTTCTTAAGGACTGAGAGATAATACACGACTCACATCCGTATGTAGCCACAGGGAAGATGCATGCTCTCAAAATTCTAATTTTGATCTCCTTGCTGGTGCCTAACCATAGTCTTTTGAGGCTGTTCTTCTTCTTCTTCTTCTTCTTGTTCACCGGCTGTGAATTCCGGCGGTAAGTCACGGTTGTTCGTCCAAAATGGACTTTTGGCTTTTACCTTGACCTGAGTTTGCGCGTACATCCGTTTTACTGGCTTATTTGTTTGCAGTACTCGTTCCCCGCCTCTCAGGCAGATGTACTCCGACTTCGGAGGAAGAGGCTGTTCAATCTTTGCATTGCTATGGCCCTCCTCCTTTTAATTTCTGTCGAACAGTCTCCATTGTTGTTTATTATAGAGCCTAGATATTCAAAGTTTGTGACATTTTAAACTAGTTTCCTTAATTTGCAACACGTTTTTTTTTTAAAATTAATTATCATTTTAAAGATAAATTAGAGTGCAATCAGAAAATATAATAATAATGAAAATAAGAATATATAGCACACTAATTTATCTTCAAAATGATATTTAATTTTTTTTTTAAACCTGGACGACTTTATAAAAAAGCTATAGTGGGCGGTGGTTAAATGATAGAAAAGGTTAGTTGCACACTCTTTAGCGGACTCTCGGTAGTAAAGTGGTCAAGCCGTTTGCCTCGCGTTTTCAAGGCCGTGGGCTCGTTTCTAGGCTCTATGGTTTGGTTCAAGAATGCAGGTTTTACGAAGAGTCATGGGTATCGTCATCGGAGCTACAGTGTTTGTGCTTTATGCGACGCTCTCGGTAGGCGGCGAGCCGTTCTGTGGAGAACCAAGGATTAAATAAACCCATGAAAGGAAGTCCATCTTCTCGATTTCAACCTTTGAAACAGCATTTGTAGGCTATTGCGCTCTGAATATTCGACGCTCCACATGACGCAAAGCTGTGTGCTGTCAGATTGCATGCAATTGAATCGACCTGGGTACATTAAGCTACATTTAAAAAAAAAAACTTGTCAAAATTAAAATAGTGCACTGATAATGGTATGGGTGTACGTGGTCAAGTGGTCAACTCTTCGCCTCGCGCTCTGAAAGTCGTAGGTTCGTTTCACGTCTGTGTCGTTCAGTTCACAGGTACACTTTTTACGGAGATGCCTGGGAATCGTAGTTGGAGCTACAGAGTTCGTGATTTGTGCGACGCTCAAGGCAGGCGGCTAGTTGTTCTGCGGAGAGACCAAGCCATACGGTTTAAGCCCTGGTGCAATGAAGTCGATCATCTTCGCTGTAACTTTATATGGTGCAGACAAAACGGGCAATGGGTGATAATATACTCATTGTTACACCGAACGCATTTGTTTCTCGGAATATTTCCTAGTACACTTTTTTTTGATTGGTGAACCTCCAAGCCAAGGTTAATATTATGAACCTCTGTAGGTCAGGAAATATTTCACTGTCATCTTTACGATGAAGGTTGGCTAACAGTTTACCACGAAGTTTTCGTAAATATTTTGTCTTCAATCTCTTCGGCGGCGAACCGCACGACAGTCAGAAGACATTTTTTTTTAAACTGTTCGACATGGAAAGTAAACCCTAATACTTATGAAAACAAAGCACAGAATAAAAAACAAGTAAACAAGGAAAAGTTCCTTCCAGATGCAAGTGGTTCATCCGGCCTATGAGACTTGACTCAAATTTTTATAAACCAGTCATTACTTCCCAGTATTTAACCTTGTACCCGTTTAACGCTGGGTCGACTTAGAAGCCATTGTCACATCCGGGATTGGGGAAAAGGGCGGGGGGGGGGGGGTGTTCGTCTCTTGTAGATTTGAACCCGCAGTCTTCGGATCCGCAGGCAAGCGTCTAGCCGCTACACCACAGTGGTTCTCCATAGCACAAAACAACCAGAGTAAAGAAACAGTGAAGGACCTTTTTCCACGCCTATAGGTGTATTGGGCATATAGGGCTAGAACTATAGACCATCGGCAGTTTGTAGTTGATTAGGTTAGCATCAGGCCGGCCGCTTTTACTTTACAGGACTCTACCTGCTACCCTTTCAAGGCTGGCTCGACCTGGGAGACAAGGTCATTTTTTGAAGGAAAAAAATCCGGCTTCGTCAGGATCCGAACCCACGACCTTCTGATCCGCAGGCGGGCGTCTAGTCGCCAACTCGACGGCGACTCTCAACTAAAGCAAATCCACATGAATGTGATTTGTATACCTTTTGCTTGAGCTGAGCCTTTTGGAATGCCTCCAAGTTTTCATAACTGTTTAATTTAGGGTCATCCGACCCCAGGAAGTCTGTTGATGAAAGTGGGTGGCGCTGGCCTTTTCTTCCCAGCAGAGGACTTAAGTGTCTACAGCGCCCTTTGAGCAGTTCCTCGTGAATCTTCTGGTTGGTCTGGTTTTGCTTAGCACCAAACCGTAAGGGAGAGGAAGGCAGCGAGGTACTAGTCTGCTGAATTTCAAAGTCATGAATGCCGTTTTGTAGAAAGTTCTCTTTGCACAGAGACAAAGTTGACAGGTGGTCATATGAATTTTCGTAAAAGTCTGTGCCCGTTGAAGAAGTTTTGTCGTCGTTTTCTTCGTTAAAGTCAGGGTTTTTCATAACAAAGCCTGGCATTGATCGGAAGTTATGAATGGATTGTGTTGACTGGTCTTCAGACAGAATAAGACACAGCTTCTCGAATGAATTCAAGTCTGTTTTTAGCAACGTCGAGGATGAGGTAATGGAAGTCGGTGAAGGAAAGTTGCTTGTCTGGAAGACGGGGCCAGATGTAACATTTGTCTGGCCATGTGTGAACGGTGAGAGAACTGGATTCTCTTGTTTCTGCTTAATCTGAGTACAATTAAAATCTGTATCTTTAGAAGAACTCTGACGCAGTACGACTGTCTGTTTGTCTAAAGGAATGTGACTAGAAAGATCGAGTCCAACATTTAGCAGACCACGATGACAAGCTCCTGGCTCCTTCAACAAGTGCGAACGTTGATGAGCATAATAAAAGTCGTTTTGTCCTGCCTCTTCTTGTAATAAATGATTGTTGCTTCCTGTAAAAGTAATTTGAGACAGGTCTCTGTGAGATGGCATCGCGTTTGTTATAGCTACCGTTGATTGTTCTATATGTTTGTAATCTCTACGTAAAACTTCCTCAGAAAATGCACCATCGTGGATTGGACATTGCCTTTTGTTGTATAAAGTTTGTGACTCTGCAGTGAAGCCTTCCTGAATTTGACTGGGATCAGAATGGCCAGATCGTGTGTGTTGAGCATTGCTGGGAGAAAGAGGCTGAAAATTCACGATTGGATGACTAGAGGAAAGATCTGTTCCCGGAGCATACTGAACAGGCTGGCAGGCTGGGCAGCTGCTGGGAGAGATAGGAACGCCAGTGTCCAGAGAGTTTTGTTGAGCGAGGTAGAGTCTGCAAAGGAATGATTTACATGTCAGTCTTTCTGGTCAAGCATTGCATCAATTTTATATATATATATATATATATATATATATATATATATATATATATATATATATATATATATATATATATATTAGTATTGATCTTGACTATTAGAGGCAGATCAATATAAATTATTTGAGACACTAGACAAATAACAGTTGAAAGCTATAGTAATACACTAATTACATTACTAAAAATAAAAAAATATATACAACTACAAGAAAGAGGCAGTCACCGTTCTTCTGTCAAGTTATGAGAAAAGGGATTGGAGAATATTACAATGAGCTTAAAGATCAACCGTTGAAGAGGTATAAGCAGACCAAAAGAGACATTGTTTTACAGCTTGAAGCGATGACATGTTCGAATATCATTCGTCGAACTGATTCAGACAACCAAGGACCAAGATATGTTGGAAGATATCAGCGGCTACGCTGATGGGCAGGGTCCGTAATGATGATGATGATGACAATGATAATGTTGACACCGAGATTTAAACCTGTTGAATCCAAATGACAATAATGCATCTGTATGAAAATAAACCTTTCTTACTTGACCAGCTGATTATTTTTTTCTTTTATTCTCTAAAAGACTGAATTGTAACTCTTTAGTCTAATGCACTTATTGTAACTCTTTAGTCTAATGCACTGATTGTAACTCTTTAATCTAATGCACTGATTGTAACTCTTTAGTCTAATGCACTGATTGTAACTCTTTAGTCTAATGCACTAATTGTAACTCTTTAGTCTAATGCATTAATTGTAACTCTTTAGTCTAATGCATTAATTGTAACTCTTTAGTCTAATGCACTTATTGTAACTCTTTAATCTAATGCACTGATTGTAACTCTTTAGTCTAATGCACTGATTGTAACTCTTTAGTCTAATGCACTGATTGTAACTCTTTAGTCTAATGCACTAATTGTAACTCTTTAGTCTAATGCATTAATTGTAACTCTTTAGTCTAATGCATTAATTGTAACTCTTTAGTCTAATGCATTAATTGTAACTCTTTAGCCTAATGCACTAATTGTAACTCTTTAGTCTAATGCATTAATTGTAACTCTTTAGTCTAATGCACTAATTGTAACTCTTTAGTCTAATGTACTGATTGTAACTCTTTAGTCTAATGCATTAATTGTAACTCTTTAGTCTAATGCATTAATTGTAACTCTTTAGTCTAATGCACTAATTGTAACTCTTTAGTCTAATGCATTAATTGTAACTCTTTAGTCTAATGCATTAATTGTAACTCTTTAGTCTATTGCACTAATTGTAACTCTTTAGTCTAATGTACTGATTGTAACTCTTTAGTCTAATGCACTTATTGTAACTCTTTAGTCTAATGCACTGACTTGTACGTTGTTTGAAAAAGAGCTAGCATCTAATGGAGTAAAGTGTGGAGTTTATGTAGAGGATTTGTTTCGACCTATTACACAAGATTCCTTAACGAGAGGGCTTAAATTAAAACCTTAAAGCCTGACAGAAATTACAACAACCATGCCACTGTCTGGTAACCTGTGAATGTTGTTGTTAAAGATATCAAGAGTGGTAAAACGGGATATGAAATGACAGACGACAGTGGCCGTGTCATGTGACAGTTGAAGATGGCAGCCCCACTTTTGACATGCACCAAAATGGAGCAGCGTTCTGTCGCCCCCCCCCCCCCCCCCTCTCCCACCTTTTTATTTTTTTAAATCATTGAAGGGATGCAACCTACATAAATGCATCAGCAAATAAAGGTCCAGTGTGGTAATGCATGCCAGCCACTCGAGCAAATGTGTGAAAGAGTAAGAAGTGTCAAAACGGCTGGTCCTCTGTGACGGAATGTCCACCGTCGGGTCAGTCACACCGAGTAGTGACCCAGAGTCGACTGCAGCAGTTGAAAGTCTCGTGCATGAAAACCGTCACCTAGCTGCGAGTGACATTATCGCAGATAATGAGATAGATCCAGATTCAACACACCAGATCATCAGTGATGTGCTACAGTACCGCAAAGTGTCTACAAAGCGGAGCAGCTTACCCAAGGTTTGAAACAACGACGCACTGCTAAGAACTTCCGCTGTGCATTGACGCAAAGGGTGATCGTTTCCTATCAAGCTTTGTAAAATAGGTTTTATCTCCAGAAATATTTCTTTATAGGACACAATCGTATTCTGACTGACTTTCTACCCCACCAGGACATCACACAAGCGATAAACACCCGATGATACAATGTGCCACCATTTCGATGAGGATCACCGTGGAGAGGTCCCAGAAACCGCGTTCAGCCAATTGGCCATATTTATGGCCTGGCTATATTGCGGCCCCTGGCAAAAGCCAGGGTGGGGCTTCAAATAACGAAAAATGTCATTCTAAAAAGGACGGGAAATAATAACTAACTAATCCATCGTATCCTGCTTCAAAACACCGCAAAAGTTCTTGACACGTATCGATGCATTGTTGCTTCAATTCTGGAGCAAGCTGCAGTGGCACCTACTTTGCAGACACTGTGCGGTACTACAGGACATCACCAGTAGCATTAGTAATTTCCCCTGGTCTCTGTATTCTTGCGCACGTGAAAAAAAAAGCCCTTGGTAGTTGGAAATCTAAAAGAGTAGCCAGCGGCTAGCCCGGGCAAAATTTGGAGTTAAAATATATCCAGAGTATTTCAGGATCGTCGCCGGTACAACGGAGTTGGTGCACTGCGCTGCGATTCTTCAGACTCAGGCTTGAGTGGGAAGTAGAGCGGAGCACTTATGAGTTACATCGGTGTGCCATGATGTTGATCCGTTGAATAAACATAAACATATGATTGAGATATGTGGAGACAGAACATTAACACAGTCTGGAATGGGTTGGGTCACAATATCAGTGATGATGATGATGATACTTCACGTTCATGTTCAGTTGCGTTTGTTCGTCCACTTTATTCTTGTTCCAGATCTCGAGTTGTGCATTCATATCCATTTTACAGATCTCGTTTTGTGTGTGCGTATGTATGCAGACAGTTGGTCACTCTCCACTCTTAGGCAGATGTACTCGACTTTAAAGAAAAATCCCCTAATTAGTCGACTCTTACAACATGTTTGTTAGAGATGCTGTGGGTATATTCTATTATTCCCCACCCGCGATGGGACCCTAGAACCCACGATTGGACCCCAGAACCCACACTGGAACAAGGGTGATACTGCTGATGCTGCCAGTAATCATGATAACGGTGAAATACAACATGCAAACATGCCGTATGTCTTATAGTAGGTTTGAATTTGCCAAAATGGACATAGAGGTGATATATATCGTTCTCAAAACGTTAGAAAATGAAAGATTAGAATACCTTCTGTGTAGATCCTGACAGTTTGGTGCAGTAGGACTACAATCTGCCACCAAGTTGTTCTCGAATGGCGCTTCTGAACCTTCTGTGACTCCTTCCTCAAACAGTTTTCCAGCTTCGGCTGCAGGGTCTGCCCATCTCGGCCCTACCTCAATAGCTGTCAGTGGAACCATGACATCTTTAGCACTTGTAGAACTGCTGCCTGTATCCTTCTGTGATAATGCTGAATGGTTGACAAAAGCTGACGAATTGAGTTCATCGCTTTTCCATAAGCTGTCGATGCTAACTCCACAATTTCTGCCTATGTCAATGCAGTTTCCTACATCTACTCGCTTGAACCCGTGCAAATTCTCTAACTTCCTATTGCCTACCGTCGCTGGAGTGTTACTAGACAAAAATGATTCCACCTTGTTACTACAGGTCTGATTAAAGTGTGGCATGACAATGTTACCGTTTGCATACGACGAGTGGAAATTGGTGTTGCTGGGATTATTAGAAGGCAATGCTGCACACTTGTTGTTACTTCCTCCATTTAATTTGGAAATGTTGTTCGGAATGTGTGTTTTATTGTTCATTTGAGGGCTAGTGCTATTACTTTGATGTACATTCAAGCCAGCCTTGGGCCTAGCTCCTTGCAAACAACTCTCGTCGCGCCAATTTTCTAGGCAGATTTTCTCTTGCAGTAAGTAAGGGACTGACTGTGTGACTGGGTCTACAGCTTCAAAACAGTTTAGCTTTGTTGCATTGTTGAGAATGTCTTCGTTATGTGGGGCAACGACTTCGGTAGCAGCAGAATCCACACTTGAGAATCTGATGTTTAAAAAAAAAAGGAAACAAATTGTAGAATCAGTTTAGAAGACATAAACAACTACATTAGAATTATAGCAAACGCCCTATCCCAAAGAGTTTTGTTATTTATATGTATGTTTATTACCACTACTACTAAAACTACTACTAGTACTACTACTTCTACTACTACTGCTGCTGCTGCTGTTGCATCACCACAACTACTACAAATACTACCACTTCTACCACTACTACCACCACTATCACCATTACTATCACTACGGCTACTATCATGACCACGAACACTTCAACTGCTACCACTATCACCACCTACACTACCACCACCACTACTCTACTACAACCATCACTACTACTACAGTCGTTACTAGTACTGCTACTATGACTACTACTATCACCATTACCACCACCACATCGTCTTCTTCCTTTTTTTATTTTTTTTTATTTTGCTCACTTTTAGCATATCATAAATTTTCTGTTCAGATTAGGATATGCGGGGTAACTAGCAGGCTGCTGCTGCGCATCTGGGCGGTTAAATACTTTACTAAAAAGCGGACGAGGTGAAGGCTCTCGGGGATGATCAAATGGAAAGCGCAGTTGAAAGACTAATTAAACGGGCTGTGAGCAAAAGCTCTGGAGGATCTTTAACACTGAGGGGGGAAAACATACGCGGACTTTTCTCAGGTTGCAACTGGTAGCTGAGTTGAGCTGAGTTGAGTTGAGCCAAGAACTGACATCACAGCACTCGGAGTATTCCCATGCATCCTCCATCCTCATCTTCAGCAGCCAGCGCAGAGTTCCTGTACGGATGGTACCGGTCACAATCTGGTTTTATGTCCGTCTTGCCTTTCCTCTGAGTGTAGTGAGCCGGTCAGACCCTATGGTTACACTCAAATGACTAATTCTCTCCAGGCCATAATAATCTTCTATCTCTACTGATTCCGTTGCTTGTTACCAAAAGTCTTTGACCACATTTGCCTTGTCATGTATCAGTTCACCACCCAGCGGTGCAGATCCAGCCAATCTGTCTGCCTTTTCATTACCCACCACGCCAGCAGGACTGGAGGAAAGATCTAAAGTATGCTCACTACTCGTGACCTTTCCAGTGAAGCTTGCCTCTCTAATCGAAGCATCCGTGTATTCACTTTCCCAGCATGCTCTCACAGTCTGTTAAAATTACGAAACTGGTACTATTAGCGTACCAGCTCTTGTTACTACTGAAGAGGGAGACGGAGTACGTGTAGGAGTGTCCTGAGTGCAGGGATGTCAAGTCTTGATGCATTCATTCATTTCATGCATTCTCAGTTCGACTGAGAATTGGCTCTTAACCAATTCACGAAACGCTTTTTGTAAGCTTTTTTATTGTTTGGCTAGAATTTGCAGTTAATGATTCTCAGTGAAAGATATAGGTGGTCTCAACCAGCCAATCTTTTTCGTCTTTTACGACTTACATGGCAATTTACATTGTCACAATTCTTTCATTTCCCTGTAGATTCATCAAATAGATGACTTAATTTTCAGTAACGGAAATTCGAACTAACTTTTAATGTAGATAATTTTGTTTTCTGCATTCGCGTTGAAATGGCGATTGGAACGTTATCTTGTTGTTTACAGCTAGGCTGCTATATCATCTAATTTTGGCCCACTTATCCGATTTCAGCAAAACCCTTGATTAGTCGAACTAAAAGAGATGTTCGATATAGAAAAGTGTCTACACTCACAACCCACAAGGTGAACAGAATACTCTAACACGACATAACACTCTAACAAGACAGAACACTCTAAAAAGACAGATCACCCCACCAAGACAGAACACTCTAACAAGACAGAACACCCCACCAAGACAGAACACTCTCACAAGACAGAACACTCTAAAAAGGTAGAATACAAACAAGACATAACTCCAACAAAACAGAACACCAACAAGACTGAACACTCTAACAAAACAGAGCACTAACAAGACAGAACACTCTAACACAAAAGAACACTAACAAGACTGAACACTCTAACAAAACAGAACACTAACAAGACAGAACACTACAACAAAACAGAACACTAACAAGACTGAACACTCTAACAAAACAGAACACTAACAAGACTGAATACTCTAACAAAACAGAACACTAACAAGACTGAACACTAACAAAACAGAACACTAACAAGACTGAACACTCTAACAAAACAGAACACTAACAAGACTGAACACTCTAACAAAACAGAACACTAACAAGACTGAACACTCTAACAAAACAGAACACTAACAAGACTGAACACTCTAACAAAACAGAACACTAACAAGACAGAACACTACAACAAAACAGAACACTAACAAGACTGAACACTCTAACAAAACAGAACACTAACAAGACTGAACACTCTAACAAAACAGAACACTAACAAGACTGAACACTCTAACAAAACAGAACACTAACAAGACTGAACACTCTAACAAAACAGAACACTAACAAGACTGAACACTAACAAAACAGAACACTAACAAGACTGAACACTCTAACAAAACAGAACACTAACAAGACTGAACACTCTAACAAAACAGAACACTAACAAGACTGAACACTCTAACAAAACAGAACACTAACAAGACTGAACACTCTAACAAAACAGAACACTAACAAGACTGAACACTAACAAGACAGAACACTAACAAGACAGAACACTAACAAAACAGAACACTAACAAGACTGAACACTCTAACAAAACAGAACACTAACAAGACTGAACACTCTAACAAAACAGAACACTAACAAGACTGAACACTAACAAAACAGAACACTAACAAGACTGAACACTCTAACAAAACAGAACACTAACAAGACTGAACACTCTAACAAAACAGAACACTAACAAGACTGAACACTAACAAGACAGAACACTAACAAGACAGAACACTAACAAAACAGAACACTAACAAGACTGAACACTCTAACAAAACAGAACACTAACAAGACTGAACACTAACAAAACAGAACACTAACAAGACTGAACACTCTAACAAAACAGAACACTAACAAGACTGAACACTCTAACAAAACAGAACACTAACAAGACTGAACACTCTAACAAAACAGAACACTAACAAGACTGAACACTCTAACAAAACAGAACACTAACAAGACTGAACACTAACAAGACAGAACACTAACAAGACAGAACACTAACAAAACAGAACACTAACAAGACTGAACACTAACAAAACAGAACACTAACAAGACTGAATACTCTAACAAAACAGAACACTAACAAGACTGAACACTAACAAAACAGAACACTAACAAGACAGAACACTAACAAGACAGAACACTAACAAGACAGAACACTAACAAGACTGAACACTCTAACAAAACAGAACACTAACAAGACTGAATACTCTAACAAAACAGAACACTAACAAGACTGAACACTCTAACAAAACAAAACACTAACAAGACAGAACACTCTAACAAAACAAAACACTAAGGAGACAGAAAACTGCAACAAAATAGAGCACTAACAAGACAGAACACTTCAGCAAAACAGAACACTAAAAAGACAGAACACTCTAACAAGACAGAACCCTCTAACAAGGCAGAACACTCCAACGAAACAGAATACTCTAGCAAGGCAGAACACTCTAACAAGACAGAAGTACAAACACATACTCATGTTTATTTCCTCTGTCCGACAGACTTCCCCTATCCCGTCTGCAGGATGGATCGTCGTGTACTGTGACCTCAACCGTCTTCCTCTCCCCAAGACCTTCTTCACTAGTCCCTGCAATACGACCACATATGTATGTGTAAATGTCAGTGAAGAGAAACTTAACCAATAACATGTCGCATCAACGAAACCCCTGATAAATTATACGCCAAAAAAAAACAAAAAAAAAAAAAAAAAAAAAATTTTAAAAAATGCACAGCGCCGCCATCTTTGTTCATTCTGTCGTGTATTAGGTAGCCGGCGCACCGCAGCAGAAAAAAACAGTGGTTAAGAAAAAGCGTTACCTGTAAGGATATAAAGCGAGGTGGCGGAACTGTCATTTGAAACCAAGCAAGGAACAAAATAACATGAATACTTTACTCACTGTCATGTACGTCCTGTACAAATGGTCGTTCTCGTCACAGTCCGCCTGAAAGAAATAATGTTTCTTGCCAGCTCTTCCGCCTAGTGCACTTTCACACTCGACGTGTCTTTTATATCCTGTAATCATCTTCGTGCTCGTCGGCTCCTGCCTCTCTCTCGTTGTGCCAAGCCCTCCACTACTATCTGTGTCCAGTTCACCGTGTCACTTGATATGGCCAAAATATTTGCTTCCGTGACAGGAGCTGTTTACTAGTCGATCTTTCTTGCTGTTCAGATCTTTTAGGATGTCAGTATTTCGTTTCTTCTTGGTCCATGGTATTCTGAGAATCTTTCAATAATATTTCCCCACAAAAGCCTCTATTGTCTTCTTTAATTGCCGGAATACTTTACTACACATGACAAAAATGGCACCAGTCTACTCTCCATCTTCTCTCCATTCGCGTTACCTGGTTACTTTCTGTCTCGGCTGTTAATCGTCCTGTTTCTGTGACAGCAGTTAATCTGTTTCATCCTAACTGATCAGCTATAGACAATGAGAAAAACCGTTTGTTTATAATGGTCATTCCTGCACTACGCTTGACCATTGCAGACAAACTGCTACTGTTGTCTTGTTGTGAATGACTGACTAATTAGTTGATGACGACCATATTTCTTTACTATTCTGACTCTTTATCAGTCATCACATTCTTTACAAAATGTTTCTGTCGTCTAAAGGTGTAGGTATCTCTAGCCAATTCTCAAGCCCTGTATGCTTTCACTGCCATTGCATTTACAATGTTCTATATCCATCTTCGTGGAGATCAGACGCCGCTTCGCTTCCCGCAAACTGCACCCTTCATCGCTGTTTTTTTGCAGTTCAAATGCCGTTTAACTTAAGCAGAATACCTCAACTTTCCAGACAAGATGCTGATTGTGAGCAAGTTCTCCTTGATGTTCAGATCCCGTATTGTGTCGTTAATTATATTCTTCTTGATCTATGGTATTCTAATCAGTTTTCTGGAGCATTTCAATTCATAATCTTTTTTTTTTTCCTTTCTTGAGTGACAGAACAAGAGTCCATGACTCACTTCTACAACTTGCCACGGGAGATATACATAATCTCAAGGTTTTTACTTTTACTCGCTTGTACCATAGGTTCTTCCTGTTCTTTGATGTCTTCATTGCTGAAGAAAGTGTTCTTCTGACTTTTGTTTGTGTGTTTAGTCCCCATTGCTGTTCATTACTAAGCCTGGATATTCAAAATTGTTGAACATTCAATTTCTTATTTATAGATTTTTTTCGTCTTCTTTTTTCTTCTTCTTTTTTTTTTCACAGTTGCCAATTGTCGTCCTGTCGTGGGATGCAAATTGTTGTTTGAAGCCCCACCCTGGCTTCTGTCGGTGGCCCTGAATATAGCCGGGGCATAGATATGGTCTAGCCATAGATATGACCTAGCGGCTAAAAGGGGTTTCTGGGTCCTCTTCACGGGTGATCCTCATCCGCGTGGTGGTACTTTGTGTCACCGGGTGTTTATCGCTTGTGTGATGTCATGGGGGAGGTGGGGAGGGGGTGTTCAACTACCTACTTACCTCTTTGTTCACCAGCTGTAAGTTCCGGTGAAAAGTACTGTATGTTCGTCTTTTTAGACTTTGGCTTTGTGCAAGGGCCTGCGTTTTGCGTGCATGTCCGTTTTAATAGCTTATTTGTGTGTAGTTGGTTGTTGCTTGCTGCTCGGACAGATGACCACGACTTGGAAGGAAGCTCAAATTTGTCGACTCCTGCGACATGCTTGTTGCGGGGGCAGTCTGTCTGTTCTTGTTTCCCCCACAATGGGATCCCAAAACCCACACGAGGATATGGATTTCCATATGCGCTTAGTAGGCTGTATTTGCAGTGGACATAAATTTGCTTTACAAATTCAGAATTAGGATTGCATTCTTTTCCCGCCCTGACGTTGTGGGGCATTCAAGAAGTAAAGAACAGAAGAAGAAAGAAGATAACAACTGATAAACATACGTACACAGATCACCATCATCTGTATTGTAGGGCGCCGGTGTAAAGTTTGGGTCCCTGGACATTACCGGGCGGGCCGGTGTGATCTCTGTGATGGTGATTGTCATCTGGCGGGGCTGAAGATGAAGCAGTGACGTTTTGTAGACAACCTGGCCCAGGCATGCAGGTAAAGATGAAATGAGGCCGGTGATCTGGAACTTGGTGCCCCAAATATTTGAGGTCACTTCAACCAGTCTGTTTGTCTGTGGGGGAATATGTTTAAAAAAAAAAGTGCAGCCGCATTGTAGGGACCGCAGAGGCCATCAAGGTTACAAGGTTATAATATGCTATATATATATAAAGAGCCCATTATTGCACAGACAGACCTGCAAACACTTGGTATTACCAACTGGAAAGAGAAGGCCAACCAGAGAGATGAGTGGGAGAGGGTGATATCTACAGCAATGAACTTCAAGGGCTCGGAATGCTAAAGTCTGAAGTTTAAACAGCGGATCAACATCATGGCACACGGGTAGTAACCCATAAATGCTCCGTTCTTCTTTTAACTCAAGTCTGAGTCCTAAAAAGCTCAGCACAGTGCACAAGCTCTGTAACACGGGCAAGAATCCTGAAATACTTTGGGTAGATTTTAAACTCCAAATTACTAGAAGTCCATGGCCACGTATAAAAATCCCAGCCCTTACCGGGGATTCAACCCGGAACCTCCAGCAGACTAGGAGGACACTATGCCTTGAGACCACGCAACCCCCTGGAATGCTAAAGAGGAAGAAGAAGAAAGAGCCCAATCCTTTTTTCACTGAGTAATTGTGTGTGTGTGTGTGTGTGTGTATATATATATATATATATATATATATATATATATATATATATATATATATATATATATATTAGGGCTGCACCGAATAGTGATTTTCACTATTCAGCCGAATACGAATAGCTGGACCAACTATTTGGCCGAATACGAATAGTGAATCATCATCATCAGGTGCTTTGCCGACTGGCATAAGCGATTATGCCTCTCCACAATCTGCGATCTCCTGCAGCATGTTTTAGTTCGTTTGCTGACACACCTCCATGCCATGCAACAAGACTGTCAATAATCTCTCGTTGTCTTCCTCTATCCCTCCTTCCATCCATACAAATGTGGAACCCCTCGGGTTGCGGAGAGAAAAAGCCACTTTAGAAATTTATGAAAGATACGTTAGGAAAAATCGTAACCATCCTAATAGACATCTTGTAGAAAACTGGGAATCCAAACAAAGAATAAAGCACAAATCGGTTTTACACTGTGTAAATGAAATTCAGGACAGATACCACCTCCCAGAAAGACGTCAAGGAATTCAGAATGTTGCAAAAAACCTACCACCACATGCTCGCTTTAAAGCTCCAGAAGTCCAAACTAAATTGGTAGGCGAGGAAACCAAACAGTCCGACCCAATCGCTCTTATGAACTCATCACTAAATACCGTTGATTCTTACCCCCCAAGAATGGATACATGTCTATACTGATGGATCAGCATTTAAAGCTACCATTAAAGCAGGTTACGGAATCTACATAGGGTATCCCGATGGATCTGTTGAAGAAATTTTTGATGCATGCGGGGAATTCTGTTCAAACTATGAAGCTGAAATAATTGCACTGGAAACAGCAGTATACCACCTAAAGACTGTAATGGATGTTTACCCCTCAAAGGTCCAAAATATTGTCATCTTCACAGATTCAATGTCTGCCCTTCAAGCTCTGGAGGGCAATGAACGCTGCAGAACTGACATAGCCAAGATAATCCTGGATGCTGATCAGCTTATTACCTCATACAACATCAGAATAGTGATGCAGTGGATTCCAGGTCACTCCGGCACACCAGGTAATGACAGAGCTGACAGATTGGCAAAGAAAGGAGCAACACAAGAACAACCACCTACAGTGACAACCCTCCAGACAGCAAAAACACTGATAAGAGCTATAAACAAAGAGACTTGGTTGAACAGATGGGCCATGGGAGACACTGGAAGAGAGGTTTATAGACATATGTCTGGCCCTGATCCTAATGACAGCATTAACCATCTAACAAGAAGGGACCAGGCCACCATATTCAGACTTAGAACGCAACATACTCCACTCAATGGACACCTAAACAGAATACAGCCACAACACTCCCCAGAGTGCCAGCTATGTAACTACCCCTACGAAACTGTTGAACACCATCTCTTTGAGTGCCCAAAACTCAGTGAGACAAGAAGAACGCTACTCCCTCCGAGACCAGACAAGTGGAACACCTTGTTCGGAGGAAAAGAACAGCTTGTGAAAACATGCAAATTCCACTACATGGCATTGGGCCAAAGGGCGAAAGCTCATGCGCCGCTGGATCGATAACAACAACAACAACATCCCTCCTTCCACTTATCTTTCCAGTGGTCACCACATGTTCCATTTTCCCTCATCCTATAACATGGCCGAAAAATGATGACTGTCTCCTTCTGATGTCTGTGAGTAGTTGTCTTCGGGCTCCCGCCTCTATCAAAACCTCTTGGTTGCTTTTTTTTTTTTTTTTTTGGTTGTCCAAGGTATTTTAAGCATTGTTCTGTAAAACCACATCTCTGAGGCCTCAAGAAATTGTTCGGCCTGCCTACCGATTGTCCAGGACTTACAGCTATATGTGTAAACTGGATATATGTAGCAAAAAAAAATTTTTTTTTTCTTACCTTTAATGACAAAGATATATTGCATAAGATGTTCTTCTTTTTATAAAATGCAGTTTTTGCCTGTCTTTTTCTGTTTCTTATTTCAGTAATGCATCTTCCATCTGAAGTTATCCATGTTCCCAGGTACTTAAATTTCTGTACTTGTCCCAAAATAAAACCATTTACTTTTATTACACATTTAGGAATAATTATTTTCTTTGATACCACCATTACTTCTTTCTTCTCACTATTCAAACTGAGGCCCATTCTTCCACTTCCGTGTATTAAATGGATCTGACTGACTGACTGACTTTTTACCCCACTAGGACATTACACAAGCGATAAACACCCCATGACACAAAGTGCGACCGTGCGGATGAGGATCGCCGTGGAGAGGTCCCAGAAACCGCGTTCAGACAATTGGTCATATTTATGGCCTGCCTATATTGCGGCCCCTGGCAAAAGCCAGGGTGTGGCTTCAAATAACAAAAAATTTCATCATAGAAAGGACGAAACTGGATATATGATTAAAATGGATCTAAAAAAAAAAAAAAAAAAACATCTGTAATGTCAAATGTACGCTGAAATTTTACTTCACAAAATGTAGTACAGAATAGTAAACATTTAAAAACATTTCATGTTTTGCATCCTTCAGTCAGTCAGTCTGTGGTAACTAATACCTAGGAATAAAAGTATTCCTAATTTTATAACAAGTAACTAAACTTGTAAATTGTCACTGACAGCCTAGTTAATCCATGAAATCGGTATTGGCTTAAAAAAAAAAAAAAATCGTTTCATGTTGTCAGCATTAGGCGGCTTCTCGTCTCACTGAATGTATTTCCAGCTGTACTAAACAGACGTTCACCGAATACCGAATAGTTATTAGGTCCACTATTCGGCCCCGAAGCGAATACGAAGCGAATATTCGGTACAGCCCTAATATATATATATATATATATATATACACACACACACACACACACACACACACACACACACACACACATATGCATGATAAATGGAAAATCCGAGGCCGTAAATATGAGCGCCTACCAAGGCTCTTACCCAACGCCTTTGAGTTAGGAATGGGATGTCTTCACAGCACTCCGGACACGTCCAAAGGTGCTCGGACACTCCCCCCTTCCAACGTATTCATCAGCGTGGTGCGATTAACAGTACCAGTCCTATGCTGGTTGACAAGACTTCGTGTACGCTTCTTCAGTTTGACGTTAAAATGCAATATAGGACTAGAGGAGAAGAAGAAGAAGGAGATGTATGAATAGGGAGTGAGTTCACTTCCATCAAAACCACACATGAAGCATTTTAACACCCAATGACAGAAATTGCCACCATTTGGGTTAGGTTATATTAGGCGCCTGGACCACAGCCACGGCTGTAAAGTAATAAAACATTGCGTCCAATATTGACCGACTGACTGATTTTTTTTACCCCACATGACATCACGACGCAAAGTGCCTCCATTCGGATGACGATCACCCTGGAGAGTTCCCAGAAACCCCGTTCAACCGTCAGGTTTTATTAGGGCCCCCGAAAACAACTAGGGTGGGGGGCTTCAAAATAACGAAATAGCTCCCACATGTGGACGGGAATATTGGAATGATATCAACCATGAAAGTTATACTTTTTGTTCTGTTTTTTTTTACTGCCGATATAATGCGATAGGACTTATTTACTTTACGTTGCAATTTATAGATAAAACTTGTATCTGCTAATAATATTATTGGACATGAATTACATCCCTTGAGTTACAATCACACATGAAAGTTACATCTACTGTTGCCGTCCATTGTTGCCATGGGCGTGAAATACCTTCCTTAAGTTACAATCACATGCAAGTTACATCACCTATTGCCGCCCATTGTTGCCTTGGGCGTGAATTACCGCCCTTAAGTTACAATCACGCATGAAAGTTACATCTCTTATTGCCGCCCACTGTTGATATGGGCGTTAATTACCTTCCTTTAGTTACAATCATACATGAAAGATGCATCTACATTTATTACCCACTGTTACCACGAGACACGAATTACCTCCGGCAGGTTATCGTCATACATGAGCTCATCAAGAGTCCTGAAAGTGATGCTTCTGTCAACCTTTTCCGCTCTAAACACCTTGTTCCGGCGCCGCCGCTGCATCCGTGGAGAGCCACATCCGTCAGTGTAGACTTCAGTTTCTGACTCTGAACTTGAATCACTGACAACAATCCCACTCGTCTGGCTGGATTCTGTGGATGTTTAAAATTAGCACACATAGCTCCTTCCGCCCCAGAGAGGCGTCGCCTTGACTAAAAAAGTCCTAAACATTTATTACTTGTAAATCAAGTCTGGGTAAAAGAATTATCAAAGCAACACAGTAGAAACCGAGGTGTAGCAATGTCAGGTAGTACGCGGGCGAAAAATCTCCTGTTAACACACACACACACACACGCACACGCACACGCACGCGCACGCGCACGCACGCACGCACGCACGCACGCACGCACGCACGCACGCACGCACGCACGCACACACACACACACACACACACACACATATATATATATATATATATATATATATATATATATATATTATATATATATATATATATATATGAGTGTGTGTGTGTGTGTGTGAGAAGAAAAGGGAAAAGGTGAAAAAAAGAAGAAGAACAACAACAAGAAAAAGAAGAAGAATAAGAAGAAAAAGAAGAAGAAAGAATAGGAAAAGGAGTGTACGAACACATTTCAATCAGCACATTTCAATAGTGAAGTATACAGTTAGGAATAGTAAAAGTTATAGTACCGAATGAGGTATACAGTAAAGAACATACTCATCACAAAGTAATAGTAAGCTATTCGGTGTACATTATTTAAATTATTCAGCACATTATAATAGTGGGATATATAATGGAGAATAGTAACCACTACAGTATCGAACAATAAGCTATATAGTATAGAACATGCTCAGCGCAAAGTAATAATAGGTTATACAGTATAGAGCAGTATGCTATAAGTACATAACACAATCAGCACACAGTATCGTCAAGCTGTTAGGTATAGAACATATTCAGTACGCAGTAATAATATGCATAAATTAAAATACATTCAATACAAAATTTTACCAAGTAGAATAGCAGACATTCAAGGCCAACTAAATTACCTTTCCCAGAAGACTTAATCTTGGGGTCGAAAATTATGAAGTCCGGCCTCAGTTTGCTGGCTCGCTTGCCCTTGAGAAGTGGCACAAGGCCTCCGAGGTATTCCAGGTACAAGGTATAGTGGCCACCCGAAGTCTCCTCGCCGTGCCGGATCATGGTACAGAAGAGTCGCTCTCCACCCGGAGGAGGGCCACACACAAACTCTCTCAAGCGCAAGGGGTCAGGGATGTAGCTCTGATTAGAGACATGAACAGTTGCACAATATATTGGAAAGACTGGTAGGATTATGAATCAAATGCAGACTTTCCCCGTATATTCTACCGCCACTATACTCAACATAACATAACATAACTCTTCACCCGTTAGGTTCGTGGAGAGGTATTGATAGAAGCACTAGCACATAAAACCTGCCATCTGTTTCTGTCTTCTGCTTGATAAATAAATGTATGATAACTCAGTCCTGTCCATTTATTGATGTTGACATTTCCATTTATTCTTTGCCCTCGTCTTCTTAGATTAGTCCCCCCTCACCCCCCCCCCCACACCCCCATGCTCCTTGAAGTACACAGTCTTTGCAATCGAATCATGTCTCACCACGTGCCCAAATCAAGCTAGCTTGCGACGTTTCACCACTGCCAAGAGAGGCTCCTGTTGTCCCGTTGTATATTTTGTCTCTGACATATAGTCTCCACTATAGGTGGAGGAGAAATGTGCAGAATAAGCCTACTGATCCCTAACAAGCATGTCGTAAAAGTCGACTAATTAGGTATGTTCCCTTCGAGGTCAGAGTGCATTTGCCTGAGAGGCGAGGAACCAGCAGTTTTCATACCAGTAAGTCAGATATATAAAACGGATGTTCACGCAAAACTCAAGTTCTCGAACAATACCAAAGTCTAAAAGTGGTCGAACAACCAGAACGTTCCACACGATAGAGAAGGATGGAGAAATACAGACTTAACTGCACACAAGCACCGAATAAAGGCTGCACAATCCGCCCAGTATCCTTGTTAGGATTCACCCCCAAACATTATAATAGAAGAGCACATGCTGCACAACTGCCTACAACTGCCACTCCTGATAGAAAACTCATGACCGGAGGGAAGAGGTATACAGGACGCACTTTAGGGAAGCCCTAGAGACTTGCTGTTGGCGTTCGTGTTCATGGAGGCAACACAACTGGAAACTGAGCTTATCTTTTTCTTCTTCTTTGCTTTCACCAGCTGTAAATTCCGGCGGACAGTTCTGGTTGTTCGTCCACGCCCGAACCTCAGTCTTATCCCATGTTGCGTGCACATCAATTTTGCAGATCTGACTTTTTTGTTTGCAGACTTAGTTCCTTGCCTCTCAGGCATGTGTACTGTGACTTCGAAGGAAGGGCTCATTTAGTCGACTCTCTGGACATGCTTGCTGGAGGCAGTGGGTCTGTTTTTGTTCCCCACAATTAGGCCCCATAATCCTCACAAGCAACCTTGGTTTATGAAACCGTTCGCAGAAAAGAAGAAGAATAAGAATCAGTTAGACCATGTATTCCAATAAACTGAGATCTGCAGACCCCTTTGATTTTCGATGATCTTCCACAGACTAACGGATTTTAATAGTTATACCAAACAAGGTATTGTAATGTAGAAATATTATCATTATCATCACAAACTTTCACGTTTTAACTTAAGCTTTTAACTTTTATTCTGCCTTTCAGTGATTCTTCAACTATCGCCAAGCGTATGATTGATATAATTGAAATAACGTTTGAACTGAAAATTAGTAACATGACGCAAAAGACATAACATTCATAACTTTTTTTTAAATACTCTTTATTTTTCTCTCAGTGAACATACCCTGTGTGATCAGCTGTAAGTGAGAATCAAACAAAGAGCCGTGAATTGAGCATGTTTAAAAAATCTGGCTCGATATGTTAACCGACAACCTGATATATTTTCATGGTGTGCATTGTCTCCTAGAGTATTTAAAACAAAGTCTTGTGCTACTGAAAGCGTTGGAACGTTATAATTTTTTATTGTGACGATAAGACAAGAATGTCTGAGAGTAAAATAACCTTGATTGTTGGAGAGAACAAGGCTTTGACACCACATCGTAGCCTCTGTGGTAGTGGTAGCTTATCAACAGCCTTTTCTGTGTGCACTGATTGGTGGATGACTCGTTGACACAGGAAGTGAAGTGGCGCCACCTGCTTGCTGACCCAAGCTACGTACATATGGCAGCCTGCAGCGATGAACAGCCTCTTGTCGTTGTGACCCCAGGTCATCGCAGTGAGTGGTTTTCCCTGTAATTGAAGTAAAAGTAAAGGACCCTTTTCCACGCCTTTCAGGAGTATTGGGTATATAGGGCTAGACCTAGTTTTTAATAGACCAAACGGCACTTGGATGATACCGTCAGCATCACGCCTGCCGTCTTTACTGCCTAGGACTACACTCAAGGCTAGGTCAACCTGGGAGCCAAGGTCATTTGTGAAGAAAAAAGGAACCGAATAATGAAGCCGTATCTGAAAATATGCCTACATCCTGGTGGCTGAAAAAACTGAGCTGCGTAAAGAGTTAAGATCAATCAGGGTCTGATATCAAAGCACTGGGGTACATTACTATAAGTCCCTCGTCCTTATCTTTGGTAGCCAGTGTAGAGTTAATTTCCGAAGATACTATAGTCCAGTGATTTCCCATCTACGCGCCGCGGCGCCTCGGGGAACCGCGACCTTTTTACAGGGGCGCCGCGAAATATTCGAAGATACACAAGTTTTGTTTGATTTAATCTCTTACATACGAATATTCATACTTTTACTTAGGTTAGAGCGCCGTGGAAAAATTGTAATTGAAAAAAGGCGCCGCGACTAAGAACAGTTTGGGAAACACTGCTATAGTGGGTTTTATGTGTCGTGCCCTCACACCTGAACAAATATGTTGAACACGCCTTTACCAGTCAACCAGAATTGTTTCATTTGGTCACAGATTTGCCACATCCCTAATGTATTATTATTTACAATTACACAGTGCTACTTTAAGCAGTACATTTCTTTGATCTTTGAAGGACAAATAATTTGTGTATCCATGAAAAAACAGAACATACAGTAACTGGAACCAAATCGTTTTATTTTAAAGCACAAGCATAAAGACTGTTTTGTAAATCATTTTACATTTACAGTAATACGAGGTTACTATTTTGATAACCTATCTCGTTTTTCAATGAAATACTGTGTTCATGTAATTCACAGGAGCCCAGCGCAGGAGACTGATCACCTGAGAGTGAAAGGCCTATAAGTGGGTCACAATTATGTAAATGGGATTATGACAGTACATAACGAATCCAACTCACCATTCAAAATAATTGTGCCTTGTACGGATTATTACTAAAACGTTTAAAGAGTAAAGATGCATTTTCATGCCTTTAGGCGCATCGGGGATATGGAAAGATCACCCATATTATTTTACAGACCAACGCCACTATGTGGGTAATGTGGTCAGCATTTCGCCGGCCGTATTTACTTCCCCAGGACATCCATCTTGGTACCCAATGTAGGCTGGGTCGACCTGCGACGCCCACACCATGACAAAAATCCACGCAGCCAGCAGTGGGTTTCGATCGCGGTATGTTAGAATTACCGGTCCGACTCGCAAAGCCTAAGCCACGGTGGCCGCTTGTGCAATTTGATGTTCTGCGAAATTCGCACCACTCCATTAACTGTAAATATGCTAACTGTATGCTTTCACACTGAATCTGTTTTTTTTTTTTTTTAATTCTCTCCATATACCTCACGTTTAGTTTAGTTAAATTTAGTTTAGAAGACAAATTAACATCATGGCACAAGGGTAGTAACCCATAAATGCTCCGTTCTACTTCTGACTCAAACCTGAGTCCGAAGAATCTCAGCGCAGTGCACGAGCTCCGTAGTATAGGCGAGGATCCTGAAATAATTTAGGTACATTTTTAACTCTAAATGTTGCCAGGGCAACGCGTTAGGCTATTCTTTTCGATTTCAACTGCCAAGGGATTTTTTTTTAATGTGCGTAACGATACACACCACACGGGCGTTCTGTCCTACTGCTCAGGAAGCAAGGGGAAATTACTAGAAGTGCACGTGAAAGAAAAATCCCAGCTCTCACCGGGGATTGAACCCGGGACCTCCAGAACTCGAGGCTTTACCATACTTTGAAACCACAACCCCCCCCCCCCCTCCATTTTTCAATGTATTTTCTTCAATCAAAGGTAAGATTATATATTTCTTTAGTACCCTGTCTATCTTAGTACCCTGTCTACCCTGTCTGTCTTACTCACTCACTCACTCACTCACTCACTCACTCACTCACTCACTCACTCACTCACTCACTCACTCACTTACTAAATAACTTACTCACTCACACACTTTGTATATCTCTCTTTGTGTGTGTGTGTGTCTGTCTGTGTCTCTGCCTGTTTGACTGTCAGTATGTCTGTCCCTTTCTACATATCTGTCTGGCTCTTTCCATTTCTACGTGTGGCTGTATGTTTCTGTCAAGGTGTGTTTGTGTGTGTCTGTCTGCCCGTGTCTCTCTTTCAGCTGAAACGACGACCTACCTGAGAAGGTAAAGTGACCCAATGAATTAGACTGCCGTCCTTGGAGTAGAAGTGTACCTCATTACGACACTGTAGATTGGGCAGACGAACGTACCCGCCAACCGCCAAGTACTCGCCGCAGTTCGACCAGTCTATTTTCACACCTGTTGGGGTCAGTATACAGGGAGTTAGGTAAACCTAGGGAACAATCCACTCTTTACTTTAAAATCAAATTATCCCTGTAACCAGTCACTGAGTTGAGTTGAGTTAACAACTGATTCCATAGCACCCTGGGCATTTATATAGTCACAACACAAGACAAAACATCCTAGCACCCTGGGCATTTCTATAGGCACAACACAAGACAAAACATCAACATGGTAATCTTCGTCACATCTGCAGCCGGTTTTCCTGAGACTTGTTTGCAAGTTACCCTTTGTAATAGTAGCCTGGCAGATTATTAACAGTCTGCACAATACAGTCAAAAGTATAGCACACATACACACACACACACACACATACACGCACACGCGTATGAACGCACACCATTCAGTGTATAATAATAATAAAATTAATAATGAGAAAATGTGTAAGGCGAAAAAGCCCCCCCCCCCTCCCCCCTTTCTTTTTACATTTTCCATCCGCCGCCTCTTGTCTCTTCTGACTACCCAACTGTATGGTCTGTTAAATATTCTTTTTTTTTAAGTCCACGTCGTGTAGCGTTGATAGTCATATCTATCCACAACCTTCTGTCTCGTGTACTTTCAATCAACTCTGACACAAATGATCTTTTATGCCATGATGTCAAACCGTATAGCAGCCGTTCTCCCGGTCTCCTGTTAAATATTAGGTTACGTTAGTTGCATATCCTTTACCGGACGTTGCAGAACCAACCTCAACAGCCAGGCTGTTGTGTGGTTTTTCTAGACAAATTTACGTCCAGTAGTTTGCCATTTCTTTCTGGAGTTAAATATTAGGAGGTTAGAAATAATAGATGGATGTTGGATATTAACCACACCGGTGGAGGAGAAGGACTGGAGACACACAATATTAGTACCCATCTGGAAGAAGAAAGGCAGAAAGAGAGACTGTGAGAAGTATAGAGGAGATTCGTTATTGAGCCACACCGGGAAAATATTTCGTAAGATCCTTGAAAAAAGGCTACGTCATATCATCGAACCACAACTTAGTGAAGGGCAAATGAAATTACGGAAGAACAGAAGTTGTACTGAGGCAATATTCACATTGGAAAGGGTGGTAGAATTCTATAAAGAATTACACATCGCATACACGTCGCATTCGTAGACCAAGAGAAACCTTTCGATTGGGTTAACAAGAATAAATTATGAAAAGTACTACAGGATTATGTAGTAAACGAATATCCTATTAGATTGTGCTAGAGTTTATACGTGAACAGTCAATTAGCAGTTACAACAAACACAAAAATGTCAGCAAATTTATGCATTAGATCCGGAGTGGGACAAGGATGCGTTCTATCACCACGACTGTTCCTGACATACGTCGACCAAATTTGCAAATCAGCTAACACAAAGGAAGGCGACAATATCGGAGAATTACTAAATAAATTGCTTTTCGCTGATGACCAGGCAATCAAAGTACCACCAGCAGTACAACTACAAGAACATGTTAATTTATTCCACTCAGAATGCGGAAGCTATAATATGAAAATGAACGTAGACAAAGTATAAGTGATGACATTCTCCAGAAAGAAAGAACTACCAGTATTTAAACATAAGTTAAAGCATACAACGGATTTTTCATATTGGGGAGCATTTTTTTTTTTTCTTCAGAAGACGAAAGAATTAATGAATCTAGGAAAGATCCAATAAGGCCAATCAAATTTTAATCCAAATAGCACCAATTTTGAAATGCAAGCATGTGAATATGAACACTAAAAGAACACTGTTTAACACAATGTTCTTATCAACGCTATGCTATCAATGTCAAACAGGGACACTGTCACCAGAAGACAGTAGGAACATAGTTACGACATAAATTGAATATTCAAGTACTACGTTATGTGTAACGAGAAAATATCGATTTAGGAACGATGATATCAGGACGACAATCGGCACAGAGCCAATACTGAACTTTATAGGTAGACAACAAATCAAATAGTTTGGCCATGTAATAAGATTGACATCAGAAAGGGCACCACAAACAGCAATGCTATACATATACAGCGGTAACAGAACCAGAGGTCGAACACGCAGAACATAGACCGCCGAAATATCAGAGACACTGACAAGTACTTTATACGAAGCGAACAGAAGGGCACAATCCAGAGATCTCTTCCTGTCCTGACGCTACGAGGTGTTCTAGGGGTAGAGAAAATGGAGCAGAAGGACAGAGATCAACCGTACAGTCCATTAGCTTAGTACTTCCAGAAACTACTCGACATCACGTGGAGTTGACAGGTCTCAGGGCTGTCGATAGTCGTTTGGGTAGTTGGAACATGTGAATGTGTGAACACCGTTCAAGCCATGGATAAACCAGCCTACGGTCAGTGCCAGCGAACTGGACAATGTCCTGTACCGGACAGTCGTAATCTACTTCAAGACTTGTGTTTTTGCTTTCTAGGTGAGAAGGAGAATGATTTGTTATTATTCTGTCAGTGAATTCTTGGCAATGAACCAGGACCAGCTGGTTTGTTTACTTGTGTGATTTAGACATAAAGATGCAAGGAGTTATATATGAGAGGTCGTTTGGGTCAAATGGATGATGTGATCAACATAACACGATTGTCTTTACTTCTTATGACATTACCTGCTACATATTTTAGGCTGCATATACTTGGTACCAGGTCATATTTTAAAAATAATCCTTCACGACGCAGAATTGAAAGGGGATTATGAATATAGTTCGTTGTAAAGAAAAAGCACAACATAAAATAGGACTTGGAAAGCTCTGATAAGAGGCAAAGAAAACAGTCAAATACAATCTAAGGTTAAGCCTATGAAAAAATAAAATAGAAATCTTGGCTGCATTCGTCATAGTTTTTTATATTAACTGTCTTGAAGCGGTTTAAGGGAGGCAATGTAATTTCTTTGGCCATGTCATGAAAAGGAGTAACCTAAAGTACATCGTGACGGTGGGAAAGTTGGAGGGGGAAGAGGCAGAGGGAGACCGAGAGAGAAGATGCTGGACAGTTCGACATCAACGCAATTAGGAGCTTTGTGTAAGAATTGATTGAAGATACACGAGCCAGAAGGCTGTGGATAGACATGACTACCAACGCAAAACGGAACCGACTATAAGAAGAAGCAAGTAAAGTAAAGGTCTTTTCCCAAGCCCTTAGGCGAATTGGGCATATAGGGCTATACGTATATTTTTTGGACCAATCGGCACTTGGTGGGTGATGTGGTCAGCATCAAGCCGGCTGCCTTTACTTCCCAGGACTGCAATGGGTACCTATTTAAGGCTGGGTCGACCTGGGAATCAAGGTCATTTTTAGAAACTAGTCCGGCTCCATCAGGACGCGAACTCAGGACCTTCCGATCCGCAGGTAGGCGTCTAGCCTCCCACGCCATGGCGACTCCCACATTAAGAAGTGGAGGCGAATTAACGAATACAAGGGATTTAGTAAAGACGGATGAAAGATCTTATTAGGAGAACAGGACTGTTTTTCATTCTTCAGTTTACAAGCAAATGTTGGATTAAGTATTTTCAATGTCTTAAACCTGATTTACAGGTCGACCCAGCCTTAAGTGGGTACCGGGTGCAGTCCCGGGAAAGTAAAGGCGGCCGGCGTGATGCTGACCACATCACCCATCTTTTGCCGATTGGTCTATAAAAAATATAGGTCTAGCCCTATATGCCCTATACGCCTAAAGGCGTGGAAAAAGTGTCCTTAACTTTTTTTTTTAAACTTGATATAAAAACAAATGGAATCACTGTTACTAAAGTCTGACTCAAGGCTGACAGGTGTAAATGAATTATTTTACTTTTATCGTTGAAGTTCCCATTTGTTGAGTATTTATAATATCTCTTACTAGGACTCATGTGTGTCTTGTCTGTCGGCTCAGAATAACTCACGAGAAGTCGCTGACAGCCTCAAACACATTTTTTAAAACTTACAGTTACTGCAGTAGTTATCGCTTCACATAATTAAGCCCTTACTGTTTATGTTTATCCGAGGATTTGTCAGTTGAGAAAACTTCTAGAATATTCACAATTCTGGCTTTGGTCACTCATCGGTACAATTCAGTACATTGACAGTAACAAATTTGTATCATCGATATCATCTCACTGTCGTACGCACATTTCTGACCCCGAAAATATTTTTTCAATAGGCCAATCACCTGAAAGTCCAATGGTGCCAAATCTGGGCTGTATGCCAGATGTTTCATTGCATTTTTGTCCTGTAATCACAACGTCTAGTTTGAGAATAGAGGTGGAGGCAAGCACTGCTGCCTTTCGCTGGTTTGAGAATAAGCGTACACACATGCCGTGATTGTAACTGACTCGCAGGCATGTTGAGAAAGGTTGAGACAGGCATGCTCCGTGCAAAGTGACAAGCAACACTTTTAGAGGTCCCATGTAATTAGCGTTATTTGGATATTTTCTGCAGGTCATGCCAGTGTGTTAGGAAAAGAGCAGGCAGATAGACTGGCCGGTTCTGCATCGCTTGGTGGTAAACATATTTATGACAGACTGGATGTGAGGGCTCTTTGATGGAGATTTAACAGTGCGGCGGCACATATGGATCATAACGGCCTCGGGAGAATGGCGCTGCGAAGAGTTACAAGGGGATCTGACCGACGCTCAACACTCAGGGAAAACACGAGACGGATACACAATAATACAGTTATTGGTGCCATCAGAATTGGAACTCTTCGCTTGCCGCTGAAGATGGGGGAGGAGCTCTTATGGGAGTGTCCCGAGTGCTATGATATCGATTCTTAATTCAACATGTCCTGAAAGGCTTTTTATTTTTGCATACTTTTTCATGCAGACTAGGATGCAGTAGCCTTTGCTGAATTACTTTCGCTCCTAATATAATGTATTCATCATCATCATTATTATCGGCGTACTGTCGGGTCACCAGGTCCTGTCGACTGTCTGATCAGCTCTCTCCACCTCCCTCGGTCAGATACAATGGACTTGATGCTTGAATGTTTTAAGGCCTGTCCAATCCTCCATATTCTTTATACAAGACGAATTCTACGAATTAGCTATAAATATACACACGCAAAACTAGAATCATTTCTCGATGCGGCTAAGGTACGGACTTGAGCTTGGATGAAAACTCTGGATCAAATATGCAAATAATGCAAATACCTGTTAACGTTGTGTACACCATAATAGGGCAAAGGTCATCATATCCCGACATTAGAAATATGTCCCCATACTTGAAGCACACAGCCAGGACATGCGACTTCTTGTGGCCGTCTGTGGATCGGAGCAGAGTAATATGTGAGCTCACAGAGTTTCAGCCAAATAGCGTTTATCAGGTCTGAATAAAATAAGTTATATAAATAGAACATACTACCGATATATGTTACATTATGTTATGTTATAACAATCGACGTGACTGCACACTGAGCGTTCCCAGTTCTTCAGTGCAGCAGCCACTCAATACAAAAGTACGCTGTTACTGTAGTATTTTCTCTGGCAAATGATATCACAACGTCTAGTTTGAGAATGGAAATGGAGGTGGAGGCAGCCACTGCTTCCTTCTTGAGAATTAGCTCTACACACATGCCTGTGTAGTTAGCGTTTAGCGTCTTTTAGATATTTTCTAAAGGTTAGGCCGGTGTGTTGGAAATGAACAAGAAGATAGACTGGCCGGTTCTGCACCACTTAGTGATGAATTCACTTCATGTTGTGAGGGTCCTTTGGGATCGAGTAAACAGTACGGAGGCACAGATAGATTATTATGGTCTGAGCAACCACTGAATGAACTAACAACGACAGTGAAATTTATACAAGAGACAAAACTGCTGATATAGATAACTTATTTCAGGCGAACGAAAGAAGAAGCAGATGGTCTGAGCACAATAGCGAGGCGGGGAGTAATCGAACAGCGATGCATTCCCATGCATTTTTTTTTTATGACAATTTTTGCCCTCAAGGTTTTCAGTCCGCAGGATTAACACCTCAAGGATTAGAATCCTACCTGTATAAATCCCCACAAGCCCTGTTCACCTGTGTAAATCCTCACAGGCCCTGTTCACCTGTGTAAATCCCCACAAGCCCTGTTCACCTGTGCAAATCCCCACAAGCCCTGTTCACCTGTGTAAATCCCCACAAGCCCTGTTCACCTGTGCAAATCCCCACAAGCCCTGTTTACCTGTGCAAATCCCCACAAGTCCTGTTCACCTGTGTAAATCCCCACAAGCCCTGTTCACCTGTGCAAATCCCCACAAGCCCTGTTCACCTGTGCAAATTCCCACAAGCCCTGTTCACCTGTGTAAATCCCCACAAACCCTGTTCACCTGTGCAAATCCCCACAAGCCCTGTTCACCTGTGCAAATCCCCACAAGCCCTGTTCACCTGTGCAAATCCCCACAAGCCCTGTTCAAATGTAAAGTTATGTTGGGGCCCTAATCGTTACGAAGTAAGCTTTAGTCTTGACCAGTCAGGGATTGATTCTCTTCTCCCTATAAATCAATCAATCATCATCGCGCTCAGAGACAAATAAGACAGAATCTCCTTCCTATTAAAACAAAATATAACAATATCGCCTGGAAAGCGGACAGCCACCAACAACAACAAGCTGACACTAGTTTGGCCCTTTTATTAATTAGAGAAATCAGATTTTTTCGTAAAAATATTTTGGTCCTAATTGATCAAACCAACTGGCTGCTGTGCTCTCTCAGAAATACATCATATCAAATGTCCCTGAAGTCCTATATTACCCTTGAGAGATTAATGTAATGGGTATATCTTGTTTTCCACAACCTGATATGAGGTTTATTTCAAATGAGTTACGCTGAGCTGACAACCGACATCATAGCACTCGGGAGGTTTTTAGAAACGCCCCGTTCACCATCTTCATCAGTCATCGCAAAATTCCAATTGCGATGGTACCAGAAGAAATCTCAATGTATGTCTATCTTGGCTTTTCCCTGTAACGAGATTTCTGAATATACATAATTCATTGTAGGTGAAGTTGCTTTAAGCCGTTCCAACAGAGGCGATATCATCATCATTATCAGGTGCCTTGCCGACTGGCGTGGGCGATCGTGTCTCTCCATAATCTGCGATCTCCAGCAGCATGTATCTGTTCGTCCACCTCCATGCCATGCAACAAGACTGTCAAGCATCTTCTCTCATTGTCTTCCTCTATCCCTTTTTCCACAGATCTTTCCAGTGGCCACAACATGTTCTATTTTCCCTCTTCTCATAACATGGCCGAAAAATTATGACTGTCTCCTTCTGATGTCTGTGAAGTTGTCTTCGAGCTCCCGCCTCTTTCAAAACCTCTTGGTTGCTCTTTTTTAGAGGCGATATACAGTAGTCAATCAGAATACAAGTTCTGTGTTCACTAAGGCGCCAGAATATGCTACCTTGAAACCCCCTTCCCCCCCCCCCTATCTCCCAATATTTTTAGGGAGCAGATTCCCCCCCCCCCCTCCCACTCCCAGCGTGTATAGGCGTTCCCCTTTTGAGCATCTGTGTATGCACTTCTTATTATTTCAACATAATTTTTATAATAATTTGCGATTCTGAACACAACAAATAATCATATGCATTTTAATCATTATTATCGTCATTATTATCATGCAATTAAACAAGGCTAAAGCTTCCTGAGCCCTGTCCTCCCACACATCGGAAAATTACAAACGGAACTGAACGACCCCCCCCCCCCCCCCCCACTTCCCCCTTTTCTCAGTGTTTTCATCGTGACAGCGCGCCTGTGTGTTGACACTATTTCTTCACAGAACTAACATTGATAACAATGTCATTATATATCCAGTAAATATCAGGCTCTGACGCATTACGCAGGACCCATATTTGTTATAGTTTAATGGGAACTCAATAGTTGATGTGGCCGACATCACTTATGCTGCCTTTACTTCCCATGATACTTCATGGACCAGTTTTATGTTAGTGGATTCTTCTTCTTCTGCCTGTGTTTACTCTTTAAAAAAAATTCCTACAATGTGTTGTTTACATCTAGGTGCGATATCTGAGCATTTTTGGCAAAACACGTCAATTTTCGACGAGACCCTATTTGTCGTCTTTTATACAAACTTTTAGGGAGGGTGGAAAATTGGATGTGGGTCTAATCTCCACCCACCACTAAATGAGTTCCGGAACCCACACAGAGATAGTGATGGGAATTTGAACCCACTACAGCCAGATCGAAGGCTACCGGATAAATCAAGACTATCTGAAAATTACCTTTACTGTAGTGATCGGTCCCGTCCCGACCAGAGTCCGCCTCCTCCATATTAAACTTCTCACAGGACCAGGCCATGTTGGTAATCTCAAACCCTTCATGGACGGTCACCTGGGTCACCACCAAACCTGTAGAGCTCATCACTATAATTTGGCCGTCCAGTGTTCCAAACATCACCTGTTGAAACACACACAACACAGCAATGGTAATATTTTGCAAGGAAAATTTATTTTCGAATGTTACAATCGTCAGGGGGAATTGCAAACTTTTGGCTCGATCCAGAAGCCATGAGTTGTTAACCCTTAGGCTCGGTATTATGGATATCGCAACCCTTCGGCCCTGATTCCATGATAAATACCGTAAATCTGGGAGAAATGTGGCTTTTCTGCCTACCCCCGGGCGTGAACCCGTACCACAAGGAGTTCGTCACCCGGTCACCGCGCAATCCGGTTTAGCCAACTACGCTAGCAAGCTGGGCTTTTGGCTAGATAAATTTGATATCCTGTCATATTATTTACAAAGATTTAAAAACCGAGATGGCATAGCTTTGCTGTTGTGACTGAACATGTGAGCATTCGAGAAACTGCCAGAGGATTAGATAGATACTCGGTAGGTGTGAATAAAAACTGACTTCCGCTTCTGGTCGCCACTGTTGCTGACCCTTTTTAACGCGGAACTTCAAAACGCGTACGGAGCCCGACATTTTTCAAAAACTGACCTCGGCTGTCAGATCGACCCAACTTCAAAAAGGTACCAGTAAATATTGAGAAATAAAGGCGGCTGGCGTATTGCCGACCACATCACCCACTGAGCGTCGACTGGTCTCTCAAATATTGGTCAAGCCCTATATGCCCAATACGCATGAAGCCGTGGAAACGGGTTATTCACTTTTTGGGTATAATAAAGGTATGACTCAAGAGCCCTATACGACACGCTTTTTGTGTGCTAAACTTACTTGGCACAATTGTACGAGGTCTCAGGGGCGTGATCGCCTACGCCGGTCGTGGAGACGCTAGATAATGATGACGATAGAGCGAATGCAAAAGGTCCATACGGGTTAGTTGGGTTAGTCAGTGCACCTCAGTCTGTGATAGAGTTAGGATTTGTGTGATTTTTAGTTGTAATCATGTGTATTTTTTTATTCTGGAGAAAGCTTAGATGGCTGTTAGAATTTAGTGTATAATTCGGAATGCTCCAGTTGTGTGTATTTAATGGAGACTAAGGCGTTGAGAGCCCAAGATATTTTTATGATCCAACTGCCATGGGTGTGTTCCAGATCGCACTGGAGGCTGATTGCGACTGTGGGTCGGAAGAAGTTGTGCCGTGGGAATAGCTAGTCTCTAGTCGGCTATTATGTATAGGCTATTGGTGACCCGTCGGCTCTGTGGCTAAATCGATGCGAACGCTTCGTAATACCGGGATGCTGGATTCGATCCCAGCTGCAGGCCATGCGCCTTGCGTTGGTTTCGACAGTGCTATCAAGAAAACCGACCGCCCAGAGAGCAATGCAAACTACTGGACGTAAATTTGCCTAGAAAAACCACACAACAGTCAGGAGCTGATGTGGTTGGTTCTGCAACGTCCTGTAAAGGATACGTAACTAACCTTATTGGTGACCAAGAGTGTGGGCACATAACTGAAACGTTCCTTAATCTCTACTAATGACCCCGGGCCCCTAGGCCGAAAGGTGTTAAATGTAATAGGCTCCCGTCAAGTCGAGGCTAGGTGAAGTATACCTTTGAAGTATACCAATGGGTATTGGGGAGCATTAGACTAACAGTCGTTCGGTAATCAGGAGTTCATCCCCGCCCTCACACTGTGTTTCGTCCCAATAAATACACTAATGCACGATTAAAGAAATGACTGTTAGCGCGTTTTTTTTTTTGACTGTTGTTGGTGTTAGTTGTACGATGTGACAATGTAAACTGTGTTAGTTAAGCACTCTCCGGTGGTGAACCCAACTAGTTGCTGAAATTTTTGCAAATATGTATGAAGCGGTAATCATTCACCCGTAGAGACTTCACACCGTTCAGATAATAAAACTCTCATTAGTCAGTGCTTCTAGACTGAGTGAATTAGTGAATCATTATTATTATTATTAATATTCTTATTACTGTCATCATCATCATCATTATCAACAACATCATCATCGTCATTAAGAAGCAAATTATCCAGTATCTAACATTAACGTCGGCTCTGTGGCTGAGTCGATGCGAACGCTTCGTAATGCCGGGATGCCGGGTTCGATCCCAGTGCGGGCCATGCGCCTTGCGTTGGTTTCGACAGTGGTATCAAGAAAACCGACCGTCCAGAGAGCAATGGCAAACTACTGGACGTAAATTTGCCTAGAAAAACCACACAACAGCCAGCGGCTGGTTCTGCAAAGTCCTGTAAAGGATACGCAACTAACCTAGCATTACCACACAGTAAATATCAGTGACAGCACAAGAGGCAGACCTGTTAAATCTCATACCTGCTGATCGTCAGGTGACCACAGTCCACACGTGATACTGGTGTTCTCCAGGTTGAGCATGGATGACCAGTACCTCTGTCCGGCAACACTGCCCACGAGTATAAATCCGTCCTTGTAACAGATTAAGGCCATTCTGCCGTCGTGTGACCAGGCGAAGTCAGTCACCTGTAGAGGATTCGATGAACAAGGACGTTAGCTACCTTTAGATGTCACAAGTTGGATCCGATACATCAGTGTGCTGCCACTGGGAACTAGGCTGACGTTTGTTGACATTTAAATAAATTAAAAATTCCCGTATTAAAAGCTTTTATTATGTTCGCATTTGTCTGCCAACTTATTTGTCCGGTACACTTTTTGAATTTGATTTTTGATCTGTTTTCCTGATAAGCCGGTTTATATTTTGCAAACACACACACACACACACACACACACACACACACACACACACACACACACACACACACACACACACACACACACACATGCTTTTTAAAATAATTTTAGCGCACTGGTTACTGTAGTAGTTTAAGTAATACAAGCTTATTTAAGAGAGAAAAGTGTTTATTGATTTCCCACTCCTCCCCTTCCCCCTTTCCGCGTTGGATCTTAAAAATGCGGTAGAACTTTGTTATGGTTTATAACTAGGCTACGATTTCTGTGCCATTAAATCCCAAAATATGACTTTAGCAAATCGTTAATTAGTCGAATTTAATGAAATAGTATGTAATTCCACCCCTCCCCCCTCCCCTCCCCCCAATTGCGGCCTCGGAATCCATTTGAATATTACCAATCTTAACCTCAAATCAAACCCGGCTCTCTAGCGTAGTTGGCTAAACCGGATTGCGCGGTGACCGGGTGACGAACTCCATGTGGTTCTGGTTCACTCCCGGGGGTAGGCAGAAAAGCCTCATTTCTACCAGATTTTCGGTATTTACAATGGAATCAAGGCCGAAAGGTTGCGATATCCATAATACCGAGCCTAAGGGTTAACAAATCATGGCTTCTGTATACTAAAACAAACAAACAAACAACCTCAAATAAAGTGCAGTGCTGAAACGTAGTCTGGTAACATCATAAATAAATTACGTCAAAAATACAAATGTGAAGTTTGCGAATCAAACCTTGTAATTGCCATTGGTTTATGGGATATAAGTTGCATCGACTGAAATTAATTTTGCCTGACGTCTCTATGTACCGGGTCATCCATGATGACTTTATACCGTTATTATGTAAAAACTAAATATTAAATGGATATAATCGTGTGGCGTCTTAAAATGTTTAGAACATTTTACAGTGTTAGATTTACATGAGTTCACTTAAATATGGACACCAATCGCATGGAATTCTTCTGAAAGGTGTCCGGCGTTACAGTTGCAACTGCTTCAGCTTTAATTTGCTGGAATTTTCTTTCTTTCTTTTTTTTCCTAGTAGTTTTCCCTAACGCTATTTTAAAACCCAAGGCCACAGGACCGACCCACAGACCAATTGATCGTCCCACACACCCACCGACCGACCAATCGTTCCACATACGGACCGACCCATCGACCGTGTTGATTTCAGCAGACTAAAAATTATGCTAAACAAAGTGCCGGTACTGCGTACAGTCAGAAAAGAAATCATGTGTCATACCCATTTTCGGTTGGGTCGACCTGGTCAGCACCAAAACGTTTGGAACAATTTATGATAGAAGCAGCTGGATTAAATTAGTTTATATATATATATATATATATATATATATATATATATATATATATATATATATATATATATATATATAGAGAGAGAGAGAGAGAGAGAGAGAGAGAGAGAGAGAGAGATATTTGACAGACAGATGGAAGAATTGGTGTGTCTGTAGATGAGTCTCAGAACGATAAATAGCTAGATGGGTAATATGATTAAATTTTATGTTTTAATGGATGGATGGATGGAAAGATCAAGAATAACATTAGAAAAGGTTTAAATGTCAGTCATTAAACACACACTGACAAACTATGAAATATGGAACAACCAAAAATACGTCTCCCATCCTATAAATAAGTGAGTAAATATTATGACATAACAAACAAAGAAAAAACATCAATTTTGCTTCCAAGGAAAGTGATTCTATAAATCATATAAAGAGCGGAATGAAATCTACGATTATTTCTGCCCAGTTCCCGAGAGAGCCCAAAGATGCAGTCCATTACCATATTCTAAGCGGGTCAGTAATATTGTGGCTATTCAAGCCAAGGAAAATCAAGATATATGGTTTAAAAACACTATCCGTGTCATCTATTTGCAAAAATAACCACTTTATACCGTGCGTACAGGCAGGCCAATAAAACAAGATACTCGGAGTGGCCCTAGGGAAAATTAAATTATGTTTAAAAAAAAAGAAACATGAGAAATAAATGATATTTGGAGACATTTTATAACATTGCTTTAAAAAGCTTGAACAAAATATGGAACTCTAAATTGTAAGGTTTTAAAACCACGTTACGTATTTTTTATTTTAATATTATTTCAATTTTAACAAATGCCTGTTTGGAGAAACGCTAAAGAGAGGGAATTAAAGTTAAATGCTTGAGAAAAATGACGAAAAAAAAATGAGATGGATTTATAGGGATGGAAGAAATAAGACAACGGTCTAGGAAATCACTAGTAACAACAGGTATAAGACAAGAAGAATCCAGCAAAAAAATCACTAAACAAGCATTAAAATGAGAAATAAAGGGACTCAGGAGTCCAGGACGCCGAAAAGAAACCATAGGATGTATATTGATGCAGTTAAGTGCGTATCTCTTACAGGACGTTGCAAAACCAACCCCAGCACTTTCTGACTATTGTAGTTTTTCTATGCAAATTTACGTCCAGTAGTTTGCCATTGCTCCCTGGACGGTCGGCTTTCCGCACCACTGTCGAAACCAGCGCAAGACAAACCGTCCGCAGCAGTGATCGAACCGGGCACCCCGGCATCATGAAGCGTGTTGGCAACGTCTAAGCCACAGACGCCGACGTACATTGATAAGAGAGGCCCAAATAATGGACTGGATTCCATCTATGACATTGAACTCATCGCACAGGTAAATACGGAATGGAGGGTAAGACTGTGAGCTTTGTGTGTTATGCAATGGCACAACAGAAGAATCAAGAAAGGAATATAAAATTATAATGAAATAGTCTTATTTTCAGTGTTCTTATCTTTGTCTCCTAGTGAATGTTACTGTATGATCTGCCGTGGAAGGCTCTGTCGCTGGATGAAACGTTAAACAAAGATAAGGCCTTGAACAATCAGAAGTTTGTAACAAAGGAAAACCAATTATGGTCTATATCACAGAGTCTGTTCTTATCTTTGTCTCCTAGTGAATGTTACTGT